CTACATTGGCATGCGAAAGCCTGTGCGCGGTTTATCTGATTTGCTCTGTTTTGTTAAATGTGTGACCAGATTTTGTTTTTGTTTTTTAATTGTTTGCTTAAATTGTTTCTGTTTTTTTATGTATTTTTAGTTTCTTAAATTTGTTGTATAAGATATGTCTTAAATTACCGCCGCCGGGGAGGTCCCACAACCTGTATGCATACGAACAGAGGGACTTACAATTAGGAGGGCTGAGTTGTGGAAAGGGTGTTATTATTACTGGATAAAAGATGAAATTTGTTGGATTGTAATAGGTAAAGTGGAAATAGGCCGTCCATTTTAAATTTGACACGAAATTCATTAACAAGGAAAAATATCGTCAACTCTCTCTCGTACTGTACTCTCCTCTACATAGTAATAAACTAAGCATGGCTTCTCTGAGATCTTAGCGTCGTCGGGTCGTGACGATAGAAGTATTATAGGGCGACTACAGACTCTAACGTGCTGCCGTATGTTATAGAATTATGTTGCAGATTTAGATATTTTCTCCTACGTGGGTGCAGAGGAGCATTTAGGTCTGATTCGAAGAGCGTAGGATTAAGAGTAGTCTCACGTCTAATTATTGTTTTAAGATTCGAAGTGTTTGCCGAACTTAGTAGTTTTAATTATCAGCGTGATCGTGAGTAAGGGAGGAGCGATGTAGTGGGGAGGGGAAATAAATGAGTGAGGGCGGCAGAAGTGGTAGGAAGACAAGATAGAGGTAAAAATTCGGGGGTATAGAAGGAGGGCAAGGGAAGTGGAGGAAACTCAAATTCGGGTAAGGGCAAGGGAAAAATTGGAGAATCATCTATCCCTACAAACGACATCTATGATATGATTCCCGACCAATGTAATTTTGAGGGTTTTCCAAATGAAAATTTGGATATTCCAACTCAAGAATCCGAATTTAATGAGCAATTTTAAGAAGATGAAGAGCAAGAGCAAGAGCTACGAGCAAAAATTGTTACAAGAGCAAGATAAAGTTCCGACATATTCTCCATTCATTTCACAAAAAAATTCAAAGGTGAGAAAATGTACGATATAATTTGCAATTATGCAATTATTGTGGAAAATCTTATAAATTTAAATAAGCGGACGGCTATGGATCATTTTGGAAGCATTTGGAGGCAAAACATCCAACAAAAATAGTAGTTGATCGGTCTCAACAACAAATTTCCGGGTACGCTTCTAACCTTTCTTTATTTAAATATTCTGAAAAAATATAAAAAGAAGAATTAGCAAAAATGATTATGACTTCTAACCTTGTACCTTTTATTTAGATATACTTCTGAAAAAATAACAAAAAGAAGAATTAGCAAAAATGAATTTGTCTATGGAACAATTTAATCTTTATAGTTTTGGGTGAAAAAGTAAAGGTTTAAATAATTATGTGTCAAAAAGCTTAAAATCCTTGTCTGAAAAAGAGTAACCGAGAAGGAAATACAGGTAAAACGAACTATTATTATCTGTTGTGAATAATAAAGAGGGAAAAAAAGAAATTAGAAGGCTTTTAATTTTGCTCGAATTGAAAATTTCGTAGTTTCAAATTTGTTGTAGATGGTTGTGGAAGTGATCATTTGGCAAAATGGCATTCCTATAGTGGGTATAGGAAACATGTCAATTGGAATTTGATGATGATTGGGGAAAATTCAAAAAAGAATTGATTGGTTTTCGTGTTTTTTGGATGAGTAAACATAAACTACATAAATAAATATTTTATAGGAGTAAAGGTTGTTTTTCAAATTGTTAGAATGATATAAGTAGTTGGAGAAAAAAGAAAATTTTTCAATTTATTACCAATTTGATAAATAGCTTCATGCAATACTAAGATCTATTTATTGAACCTTAAAAGAATTTGTTGAACCAAATTATTGGGTGGTAAACTTTTTCATAGTAGATGTGCATGCCATGTGTTTAAATTTAATGTGTACAAGAATGGTTGTAAAAAATGTCATTGATTGTTTTTATTTCTCCTAGAGTTTAAGAAAAGCTATTTCATATTTAAGGCCAGCATCCCAGGAGTAATGAAAAGTTGGGCTAGGAATTTTGTAAAGGAAAATAATAAAAGACCAATAACGTTTTCCAGAGGGATGTCCCAACGTCGTGTGGAATTCAACAATTGAATTACTGGAACGAGTCTTTTTCTTAGTACAAGAATTATTAATGTTTTTTTTGTTAACTAATAATATTTGAGGATGATTAATTTTATAAATTATTGTGCATTTTTGTTACTAATAATATTGAAGAAATTAATTTATATCCACAAAATTGGGAGATTTGTGCAAAAACTTTGGATATTTTAAAAATTTTTAATGATGCTACATATAAATTTATTGGGGTTTATTATCCCACATCTCATTTATTTTTGCCTATATGCATTAATATTATTACTGTACTTCAAGAATTTGAAAATGATATTTTATTACAAAATTTTGTTTTATCAATGAAAAAAATGGTTATCTTATTTTAAAAATATACCACCTCTTTTTCTTGTTGCTTGTGTATTTGATCCTAGATGTAAATTTGAAATTTTATCTAAATATTTGACTCTTTATTATGAAATATTAAATCTTGATAATCTTGATGTAGAGAGAATAAATGTTAATATAAATGTAATGTATAGCATGAAGGTGTAAACAAGATGATTATGGCAATTATATAAATGAAATTTTATTCAAGTCCTAGTTCATACTACATCTAAACTTTCTATTCCTATTTCTCCACAATCTAATATTACCACAATTTTTCAACACAAAGGGTAAAGTGGTGTTGGTGTTGCCCAACAAAGATTTTAATCTGCAAAGACAAAAAAAGAACAGAGGGAATCGCAATTCTATTTCAGAAATTTGATAATTATCTAACATTCTTTTTGAGTTTAGGTGATGATTATGCAGATGCAAGATTTTTCCAATTTTGATTGGTGGAGTCGTCACGGCAATATAGAACTTTTCCAAGATTCTTTCTTACTTTGCAAAAACAAATTTTAGCAGCTCGGTCTCCACTGTTGCGGTTGAACAAGCTTTTAGTCAAGGAGGTAACATATTTGATGAAACACGATCTCGTATGACACCCGATTCATTAGAAGCACAAGTGTGTGTGGATGATTGGACCAAAGCCGAACTAAGAGCCCAAGAAAATCCAAAAGAAAAATGAAGATTTATTTGATTTATACGATGGGTCCTCAACGGGAACATCAACCGGTGGTGCAAATAGCGATACGTAGGCAACTTAATTTTTTTTTTAAACAAAAAAAAATTAAGTTCAAGCCCAATTTTTTTTTTTAAATTATGTTCAAACTTAAAAAAAAAAATTTCGCTACTAAAACGCGCCAAGAAGGAATACGTAGAGCCAACTTAATTTTTTTTTTTTTTGTAAAAAAAGAATTAAGGTTCAGCCCATTTTTTTATTTTCAAATTAATGTTCAAACTTAAAAAAAAAAGAATTGCAGTTCAAAGTTTTTTTTAAAAACAAAATCAGTTTATGTTCAAAACCTTTAAAATAAAATAAAAAATCAATTCGAAATTTTTTTTAAAAAAGAGATCATTATGTTCAAAGCTTAAAAAAAAAAAAATCAGTTCAAAATTTTTTTTTAAAACGCGCGGGTCTTAAATGTTGAAATTTTTTAGGTGTATTTTTAATTTTTTTATATGTTTCAAAGATAATTTTTTTTTAGTTGTCTTGATATTTGTTAAATTTTTTAACAGTATTTTTTTAAAATTTTTTATGTTAATATAATTATTTTTTTTTATAAAAACCGGTATTGAAAAATTTAAAATATTCAAATTTATGCGATTGCGCGCGGAAAAGCCAAATCGGGAACCGATCGGTGTTTGGTAATCGGGATCGGAACCAGAGGAAGCCGCGGAGACCGGAGGAGAGCCGGGACCGGTTCCAACCAGGGAACCGGGAACCGGCCAATTTTCGGTCGGAGTTACGCGGTCCCAGGCTTTTTCTGGAACCATACCGGAACCGGCCAATTTCGGTTCGGTTCCGGTTCCAGCTTTTCTGGAACCGGAACCGCCGGTTCCGGAACCGTGGCCATGCCTATCCTTGACTAGCAAAACTACTTATTTTTATAATTACTAGTCAAAATTCCTTTCTCAAATTATTCTACATGTCCTATTCCAATAGATAAAATTTTAATTTCCTCCGAACTTTGTTTTCTGGATTCCCATGGTTGAGAGGGAGCCTTTATTTAATGCGCTTTAATTTTAGATTGTAAAAGAATCAAATTCTATTGAGCTCGATATTTAAGTTGATAAAAATAGTCTCGAATCCTGGTCCAAATTCAATTTAAACTTAAAAAATTTCGAATTCAGCACGTTTATAACTTTCAGTTAAAAGGAAAAATATCTTCTTGTAAACCTGCGCATTATCTAAATGTGTTTTTTAATTTAAATTTTGCGCTCACAAGTAGCAGCTTCAACTCATTTATAATGTATTAATATTATTGAAAATTATTTAAAAAAAAAAACGTTTTTGCTGAATTTCAAATGCTAAGTGCTAATAGCATTAATAACCAAAAGCATGTGGTCAACCCAATTTCATTCCAATAAAAAAGCCTAACCCGCCCCACTCCATCTCCTGCGCTAAGCACCAAGTTGCGGCTGTGCCACGTCATCCAGAAAATCCACCAATCTCCGTCCTCAATCTTGCCACGCCAGAAAACAATGCAACAAGTAGCGGATCCCCGCGTTTCTTGGGTTGACACAAAGATAGTGCCAGGCTGTCGTTCTGTACGGACATATCCTCCTCCTTTCTCCCTATATATTAATTAATTATTTAACTAACTTTTGAGACATCCATCCCAATCCTTCCTCTTTTTCCCTAAGCTAAATATTAACTCACGAGAAAGAAAAAAAAAAAAAAAAAAAAAAACCTAAGGCTAAAATTATTCAACCTGCACGGAGAAAGAAAGAAAGAAAAAAAAAAAAAAACAAGCAAACTTCCGTTTTGTCTTCCTGGTTAGAAATATTAAAAAAAAAAAAAAAAAAAAAAACAACTCCGTTTTGTCTTCTCTTAGAAATTGGCCGTATTATTCATACTCTCCTTCTCTTTCTACAACGCAGACTCTCTTTTCTCCTTCTTTTCTTGTTTTTTTTTTTCAGTTAAATATGGAGTATGGGGCTACGTTAATTTTAGTCATACATTTGAATGAGCTAAGACGAGGTTTTGGTCAAATGTTATTCGTTCTTCCTATTTTAAGGCACTGAAACAGAGCTTTGGCTTGTCGAAGAAACAGAAAATCTTTACATTAAAGTTGAAAACAAATTAATCTTTCATAACAAAAACAGAACAAAACGATGTTGCAGGACGTCATTCATCCACCTTCAGACCATCTCCAAATTGTAATTAATCTTTCTTTCTCTTCTTTTGTTTATTCATGCATGCGTGCATTTTCTTTTCATGTCAAAATTTTCTTTCTTTTTTGGATTCATCGTTTTAATTTCTGTTGCATGTTATGTTTTTCTTTCCATGTTCTTCGAGATTGTTGTTTCGTTCATGTACGCGAGGTTTTATTAAGATTTTGAATTTTTCTGTATATTTCTCATATGCTAAAAAAAAAAAAAAAACGTGTTTTTCTTTTGATTGGATGCTAATAATAGTGCTTTCTTTCATTTATTTTCTCCCTCGCTCGCAATTTTTTTTGGATATTTTCCCACATGCAAATAAACGTGCGTGATATCACCCTGGTGTTTTTCTTCTTCTCTTTTTTTTTTTTTTTGCATTTTCTTTTCATGTCAAAATTTTCTTTCTTTTTTGGATTCATCGTTTTAATTTCTGTTGCATGTTATGTTTTTCTTTCCATGTTCTTCGAGATTGTTGTTTCGTTCATGTACGCGAGGTTTTATTAAGATTTTGAATTTTTCTGTATATTTCTCATATGCTAAAAAAAAAAAAAAAACGTGTTTTTCTTTTGATTGGATGCTAATAATAGTGCTTTCTTTCATTTATTTTCTCCCTCGCTCGCAATTTTTTTTGGATATTTTCCCACATGCAAATAAACGTGCGTGATATCACCCTGGTGTTTTTCTTCTTCTCTTTTTTTTTTTTTTTTTTTTCTTTTCTCTTTTTTTTTTGATTGAATTGCTAATAAATAGTGTTCTCTTTCATATTGGTTTTCAGGTTTCTTAATTCTTGGCCCCCTTCTAGCTGTGTACTTAGTTATGTTATTTTTCTTCTTTTCTTTTTTTTTTTTTTTGATTGAATGCTAATAATAGTGTTCTCTTTCATATTGGGTTTTCAGTTTCTTAATTCTTGGCCCCTTCTAGCTTGTACTTGTTATGTTAAAAATGATTGTTTCAAGCATCTCTCTCATCGAGCAGAATGCAAGAATTAGATGCTCTTCGAGGTGGGGGCAAGAGAATTAGCTTAATTAAGAGGTTTTCACGACTCGCAAAAGAAATGTTCTTATCATAAATTTGAAAACGATTTACCAATTAATGAGTGGGTCAAATATTACTTGGTTTCATTTTTTTTTTTTTTTTTCGTGTCATTGTCTGAAGAGGGCACCATCACCAATTTCACTTTGCTGACAATAATTTCAACTTTCTTTTGTGATCAATTTGGAATATATGTGTTCGAGATTTCTAATTTTGGATTCTTTTTGTCAGTTAGACTGATCAAAGAAAGAGCCTAATGACAGGAATTTCACATGGATAACTATTTTAGGGTCCTCTTAATTCCCTTTCAATTCCAATTGTTTGTTGGAAATTGGAATTTTCTATATTTTGAGTTAAAAAGAAAACCATACCACGAAGTTGCTTCTTGTCAATGCTATTTATTTTTCTTGCTAATCTTGGCTACACTAGTTCTTTTACATGTCACATGAAGCTGCACAGATACACATCCCTTTCTGCTTTATATACAACAACAGTATCCACCAAGATGTAATTTGTCCTCCCTGTAGAATTGATATGTTCTTAATCAAAAATGGAAACAAGATTGGTGCTTTTTAACCACACTATATTATATAGACTAGGTATATGTCCCAATTGAATTACTCCACTGTAAATGAAAAGCTTGCACATTTGATGCATTCACTCTTGATGGGATTCAGGCATAAATTTCAGCTTAGATTAGAGAATATTAACCTTTTTAAGTTTTATATCTTTATCAAATCATGGCCTGTGTGAACAGGCACATCGCATCGATCAAATATCAAGAATTAGATCCAAACCCATAAAACAATATGAAGAATCATGCTTGGCTAGTGCCTAAAGGAAAAGTCAAGCCCAAGCATATTAATGACAACTTCAGATATCACATGAACATAGTACTGCTTATGTTGTTTCAATAGTTACTAGTTAGTCGTTTGATTTAGATTCATGATCTTAACATTATTTTTGACTGTTTTACAGGATGATGTTTCGAGCCCATTTAATGCTCAGATTTTGGAATTCTGTGACCCTGAATTCTTCCAGGAAACCCTGCAAAATTCTGATGTCACTTCAAGCTCAAACTGTTGTTATGAGGAGAATTCTTCTTATGCAGCCAGTCTTTCGTTGCCGCCAGATTTTGAAAAGTTCAACAACAATTGCCAAGATAACAACAATAATGGCAATACTAGCACCGCAACCCACAAAACCACTAGTACTACTACCACAACTACGAGCACTGCCACCACTGCCGCTGCAAATACAAACAATATCAGTAACAACAATAACAACAGTTTCTCCATAATTTTTGACTCCCAAGATGAGCTCGATAACGAAATTTCAGCTTCTATAGACTTTTCTTCAACTCCTACATTTTCTATTCCTCAATTTGTCACTACCCAGCAAGACCAATTTGATTTTTCTTCTGTTCAACATCAACTCTCACTTTCTGACATGATTTCTGCTAATGGCCTAACCCAATATCCTGCTGACTCTGCTGTCCCATTTATGGGGCCTCCTTTGACATCAGTTTTTGAAGAAGATTGCTTGTCTTCAATTCCTTCTTATTTACCCCTCAACCCTTCATCTCCTTCGTGTGCATTTCTTGGTCCTGCTATGAGCACTTACATGTCTGCTGCTGGGACGATGACTGCTTCGTTATCTGTTGACAGTTCCGGAATTTTTGCTGGCGGAATTTTTCTTGGTTCTGAATTGCAACCACAAGAAATGGAATATCAAGGTGAAAACGGCGGAATTTACTGTCCTGATTCAATTCCTCGAGTCTTTAACCCAGGAGACCTACAGGTATGACCAAAATATAAAAATTACATATAGAGAGAAGAACAATTTAAAATAATTTTGTTACTGACGTATATATATTTTTAATTATTTTATTCGGAAGGCACTTGGCAATGAAACTCAGCAATTGGTGGGTGGGGCAGCTAGTTCTACTCCTTTGACAAACGAAATTTCAAGTTTGGAAGATTCAAGTTTCAAAGTTGGCAAACTTTCTGTTGAGCAAAGGAAGGAGAAGATCCATAGGTACATGAAGAAAAGAAGTGAAAGGAATTTCAGCAAGAAAATAAAGGTCCTCTTTCCCTCTTTTTCTCTCAGAATATGCCTTTCTTTTCTTCATACGTTATCAAACAAAATATTTATTTCTCGTTACTATTACTAATTGTTCAAGAAAATCTTTTGCAGTATGCCTGTCGCAAAACATTAGCAGACAGCAGGCCTCGAGTAAGAGGAAGGTTTGCAAAGAATGATGACTTTGGAGAAACCACCAGAGCTGCATGCAGCAATCATGAAGAGGATGACGAAGACGAAGTAAACATTCTTTATATCCACTTCTGCATATATATGTTCTATATCTTCTGTATCGAAAATTGGAAAATGCGCATTTTGAAACTTTCTCTTCGCTCTGCTTATGCTTTCTTTAAATTTTGCAGATGGTAGTGAAAGAAGAAGACGACATGGTGGATTCAGCAGATATCTTAGCTCATATCAGTGGTGTGAACTCCTTCAAATGCAACTATTCAATCCAGTCTTGGATTTGATTAACTTTTGAAGCATCAAGCATCTCTACAATTTTGCAGATGACCCTATTTCTGTCAGGATCATATATATTTGTTATCCAGGTTTATTCATTAAAACAGAATAACTAGGGTCCTAATATAAGTATAGTAACTATATGTATAATTCAGCCAGGATAATCTAGAAATTGGAATAACAATGTAATTATTGTAGATACCCTATTTTCCAATCTCTCCAAGATTGATCCCACAGCCCGTAAAATCCTGTGGCACATTTCTTGGCAGCAGAGGAGTACTAGTTGAAACATGTTTATGAGTAGTTGCTTTTGTTTATTGTTTGTGTGATTTGTATCCCAACATCTGAAATACTTGATACATTTAACACAAACTTATTTGAAACAACATGGAGGATTCTATTACTTACTTTCACCTCTTATCGCTGTCACATGTCTTTCCATTTACGCATTTCGTCGAACATAGGGCATGCACTTCTTCAACATAGCCAAATAACAGCTGTTTCGCGGGGCTCATTCAAGACTTAATCAAACTAAAATGGGCTTTCTTTGAACTTTCCCCGGACAGGAGTATGAATAGGTCCGCCGGACTGATCCTTTGGGCCTTTGTCATTATGGGCCTCAAGTACACACATTATTGTTAGATTTTGCTTACACTGAAGTTGGGCCCATTAGAATAGTCATGAATAAGACTAATGAGTAGGAAATTTTGTAAGAGAACATAAGAGAGAAATAAGTTACATTTTTTATCAAAAACAATAGCAAAGATTCAAAATTTTGAGTGATCATTGAGAGTAGGGTTTCATCTGGATATTATTTTAGTCCGAACGTGAGAATATATATGTTAAGAAAAAAAAAATCATATCTCATATATATACTCTACACGTAACACGTGATATCTTGAAACACTAGCTCTCACACGTTGCAACACTAAATAAAATTACGTCGCGCACAAATACCAACTCGAGAAGAGTATGGATAGAATTAGTTGAACATTTATGAGTAATTAATCTTTTGATTTCATGGTTTAGGAAATTTCCTTATTTCCATGGTTAGGTATTCCTAGTTTTACAAATCTAACTATTTTTCTTAACATACATCTTTTATTTGACATTTCACAATCAAAAACAATTAATTACTACTCCCCTTTGATTGTGAAATATGACCTATTGTCTTGTTATTGTCGAATTCAAAAATTAAAACACAGAACACCTAATGACCTAGAATAGGCGGTATCCTGAGAAAATCTGTTATAAAAGCATCAAAGACACAGGAGAAGGAAAGGGAATAGTTAGTTAAATGTCGTTTTGTTCACAATACAATTAATGATTGAAAAGGTCGTATCTTTTTATACATAGAAAAATATAATTTTGTTGAAGAAGAAGTGTGAGAATTTGACAAAAAGTTTGACAAATGAAACCCTAATTAGATGGTAGGTATTCTTTGAATGTTCATTTAGAGAAGAAGACAAATTTTGTGTTGTTTTTTTCAAAATTTTTTAAATTAATTGCATTTAAATAGCCCACAATTGCTAATTTGAATATTAAATTGTTCCACAGTTAGTAAAATTTTGAAAATTTAAATGTTCAACCTAATCCTAATCACCAATTTAAAAATTAAATTAAATTAAATTAAATTGAGTTGCTGAGAGAAGAAAGAGAAGGCAGCAAGACATGATCTATATTGAATTTCTAACAGTAAAGCCAACTACTGTTTGTTGCAGAAATGCACATGTGAAGCTTGTTGATTTGCAGGACAATGGTGGCCACACTTTTGTGCTTCATTATTTTCCTCACATAATTTCATTTTTTGTATTGACTTTTACTTGCAAATTTGAATGCATATTTTGTTTACATGTTATGTTCACATTTGAAACATAATAATATTGTATTACTGCTTTATGAGACCATTCCTTAATGAGAGACTTCCAACTGTAAAAATTCTTTTAACCTCTCTTGTTATATGTATAAAATTGCATAATAACCCCTGATTCATAAAATTCTTTCAAATTGCTCACTTTCTCGGATGCCTAACGTCAAATTGCACTCATTGGAATAAAGAAATGACAATCACACTGTCATTTATTTTCTTTCGGCCTCTAACACGTGGCAGTAGTGGTGATGCCACTTCAGTTGTTACCCAACTCATTATACATAATTGCCCCCACTGAATTTTAGACTAGAAACCATCACCCACTTTTATCCATTGCCAATTTTCTATTTTATAATCAATTATACCTTTTGCTGGTGGTGATTTGAAGAAAAAAAATAGTTTATTTATAATACGTGAAATGTTAAATGTGATCAGTGTTACAGAACAGATGATAATATTATTATAAAAAAATGTGAATGGTACAATGTATTTTTTCTGTCTTAAAAAGATAGTTCACTTTCTATTTTTACATATTAAGAAAATAATAATTATTATAGTTAAATGACTATTTTATTCATACAATTTTTCTATTATGTCTATCTTAAATAATACATAAATAATCATTATATTTGAATAGACAATGTAAGAATTAACTATCATATAAAAAAAATGGACAATATTGTGAGACAAACAAAAAAAAATATGGATTTTTTTTTGGGTCAGAGGAAATAATAATTATTGTAATCTGCAAATCACATGAAAATTGACGGTAAAAATCAAGGTTTATAAACATATTTTCAAGGTTTATAATGATTTGGGACGTTGAAAGTCAACTATTATTAGTGATTTCTAAACTTGAAAAAATGGGATGGATTGCTATATTAACTAAGACTTTTAAGAAATTATTCCTAAATAATACCCTTTCCTTAAAAATTAAGACAATATAATTAATATAGTTAAATCATAAATTTTTGATAAACTTTTAAATATATATATATTTTTTTTTTCTAAATCTGAGAATATAAAAAATCAATTTTAATTATTATGTGTTTTAAGATTATGACTAGTTGCACGTACTTGTTTTTTTTTTTTAATGAAAAAAGGTTTTTATATTTTTAAAATTTGAAGAATTTTATTTTTTAATTACTCTAATCACTAAAGGATGAATTATTATAATGACTTTTTATACAAAACGATAATTTATTATTAAAATAACTATAATTAATTAAATGTAACTTTAAATTTAATATAAAGTCGTTATTATATAAAAATATTTTTATAATAGAGGAGTCAAATTTTAAAATACTTGATTTAATTTGATAGGTCATTATAGAAGATTATTTATTTATTTGTAAAAAAGAAAGAACATACGCCGCCCTGGCATTAAATATAGGGGTGAGAAGAATATGAGGCTCATTAAAACCAAACATCCTTGACAATAAATGAATAAATAAACTAACTGCAACAGAAACGGTCAAACACAAGGCATGTTGGCCTACAATCCATGTCCTTGTCCCTCTCTCTCTCTCTCTCTCTCTCTCTCTCTCTCTCTCTCTCACGTGCTCTTCTACATTTTCCCCTGTACCAATATAATGAGAAAAACAAATAAAATCCCATTCCTATAATATCCCATTTGATGCTCTCTAATTACTTGCGTCTATTTGACAACGAGTGGCCCTTTTAGTTATAGTGGAGGGAAAGAAAACAGTGATGTCCTGCACCTTTCATGGGTACCAGCTCATTTTCACATTTTCTCTTTATATATAAAGTTATTATTTTTGTAACTTCCTTTCCTTATAATTATAATTAAATTTATAATATTTTCTTTTTTTGTGAGAATGATTAAATTTGTAATCTGGGACCAGGAAACTGTGGAAGAAGAAGAAAGTTAAGTGGGTCCTGAACATGTAACCCTGGATTTGGGGTTGGAAGGAGTCGCTTGCTAAATTCAACAACAACAAACGTGGCTTACAACCATAGTTTTATGTCTCACGCACTCTCTAGTCACGTTTGAGCTCCCCCACTAACTTTCTTTATCTTTCTCTCTCTAGAGAGGAAGAAATCAACAATACTGACTTGAAACACTCGCAACTTTCTTTTGGGTTAGTGAGGAAACTTTGTGCTTAGCAGTGGAATCTGGTATTTTAGTAGCACTAGTAATTAGTTTTGTTTTCTAGTGCCCTCTCTTGTGTTTCTACTTTCTGGTTTTACTCTTATCTTCAAGATAAGCTCAAAATTGGAGGGCAATTAAGTGATTGCATTCTTGGGAATCAGAGTGTGATTGGAGTGGATTTCGGTTCTTGGATCCATTTCTTCTGCTAAGAAAAAGGTTGGTTCTTGCTCTTTTATATATATGTATTATTAAAGTTTACTACTTTCTCTGTATGGGCTTATTTATTTATTTATATAAATATTTTCGCTTTCCTTTGGGGATTGATTTCTGTTTTCTGATGATATTATTAGTATTTGTTGTTGGTCTGTCCTTATAAAGTGGTACAAGAGAAGAAAATTTCATCTTTTTTCTTCTATTCCAGTGCTTTCCTTCCAACAATTTTAAGGTTTCTCTCTCTCTCTCTCTCTCTCTCTCTCTCTCTCTATTTTGATGTTGGGGCTGTTCCTTATAAAGTGGTACAAGAGAAGAAAATTTCATTCTTTTCTTCATTCCAGTGCTTTTCCTTCCAAACAATTTAACGGTTTCTCTCTTCTCTGCTCTCTCTCTCTCTCTCCTCTCTATAATATATATTATTATATATATTTAAAAAATATATATATTAAAACTTCGGGAGAGCTGAAGTCTTGGAACCCAGAAAAAGGAAGGCAGAGAGAGGTTGAATGCGTGGAGTTGAATTGAAGTCATGTGGATGAATTAATATAAGCTGCACTTGTTTTCCGCAATTATATTTTTCTATAAGTCTAAGAAACTTTATTAACTTTCTGGATCATGTATGAGATTTGTTTTCTCTTTCTTTCTCTGGGTTTGTTGTGTTATGATATTGAATATTTGGATGAGTGGCAATCTATCTGTTGAAACCTCTCTGAAAAATGCAATTTATAAGTTCTTTGTCTCATTCTTTACAGTTGATATGATTCCTATTTGCTACCTGCTTCTTCTATTCGCTAATGAGGAATAATATAATTACGAATGTTAACTCTTCTCTCTAGTCTAACTTTGATTCCATTTCTACCTGTTAAGTATAAGATGTCTTTTATTGCCTTAATTTCTTGTTTCAGATAAGAAACAAAGTAAAATCAAGAAGGGAAAGTACTTCGTTGTTTACTTGCTTTGTTTGAGCCTAATATAGATGCTTCTGCTTTGCCCTTTTCAATGTCCTCACGTCTCTAATTGATGTTGCTCTTTCTGAGATTCTAATGTGAAATTTATGATGTTTAGCTTTCTTCTCACATAACTTTGCTTTTGCAATTATTGCTGCTAACCAGTCATTTTCATTTTCATTTTCAGATTCCTTTGAGATGTGACTTGGACACTAAGAGACTTGTCTAATATGGTTGCTTTTACCTTCATATTTTTTAGTTAGAGATAGAAGATGGAAAGCATAGTTGTCCGCCATTAGTATGCTTTATCAGATAAGAGGTATAATATGGAAGACACATTTGCTGATGATGCACAGAAAGGAGGCCGTGCTAGAGAGGATTCATCATCACATAGCTTCAACAAAGATGGAGGATTATCTGGTGACAATAGCTTGGATGGTTCAGAATCAAAGTCGAAAAGGTTGGTGAGAAGGCTAAATTCACAGCATACTCTGATTTTAAAAGTTAAGCAATTTCAATACAGCAGAAGTTACATTAAGGAATCTTTCCTTCGAAGCATTCGTGTCTTGGACAGTTGGATTCCAAAGCATATGTTAACTGTAGATGAGAAATATCTTCGACGTTGTCTTGAATACATTCATCTTAGTGCTTCAAAATCAGCCCCTCAAAATATCTCTCTACACTTGAGATGGGGAGAACTGAGTGTCTTGTCTAATGGCTTCAGTGCAGCTAAAATAGAGAATGAAGATACATATGATTTTGCAAGGTTACGTTTTGACTGTCCTTTGGCATCTGGAAATGGGGGTGTTGTCATTAGCCCTGCAGGACACTGGATTGTTGGTTCCATAATGGGTAGCAAGAGTATGGTAAATATACTCAACAGCCCATTGTTTCGTAAATATGGTGCATGTGATGGTGATTCAAACTTTGAGAAAGCAAGCTTTAATGATGTTGATGGGTCTATATGTTATGAATTCATGAACTCTCCTGGTGTTTTAAGTAACTATTCACCAAACAACCTACATAAAGAAGCACCAATTCCAGGCAACAATAAATATAAATCTGAGACGCTGGATGAAAGGTTTGTTTCTATGTCAAGTACGAACTCAACATGTTCTGATCAGTCTTCATCTTCTCTCTCAGCCACTATTACTCAAGGAATGCTCCAATGCACCTGGAAGGGAGGGAACCCACATTTTGTTTTCTCTCTAGATGATCAAAAGGTGGTTTATGTGGCCAACTTGTGGAAGGTTGAATCAACAGATGATAGGGCTGTGGACTATACGTACCTATTCCATTTAAGGATGGGTGGAGAAAAGGAACATGAGATTCATGATAGTGAAAGTTACCTTGTAGGTAAGATGAAGGTATCAACTTCTTTTAGGCTCGGCCCGAACAATTCTAGAATCATGGAGAGAGAGTTTGTTTTATTTGGTGGTAATGAAAATTTCGTGCGAATGCAAACTTCAAACCATAACCTCAGGAAGAATAAGGGGTTGTCAAAGAAGGTGGCAGAAGTCTTCCGGACCAGTCACTCAATGAAGAAGAGAACTGCCTCCAGATTTAGTGGTTCAAGTGCCATACTGGAGAGTTGCCCTTGGGAGCCATTCCAGGAAACAGATAATAATATTGATGCACTTTGTGGGACCAATCTTTTGGAAAATGATCTTCCTCCAAATCTTGAATTGGTTGCCATTGTTGTTAAGGACCGTCTTCCTGAAAACCGTAAGGAGAAGATTGGAGGATGGGGCTTGAACTTTCTCAAGAAATCTAATGCAAAACAAACAGCTGATTCTATGGAATCCTCACAACCTCCTCCTGGCTGTGGTGTGCGAGATTCCAGTGACTGTTCAACAAGTATGGATATTCTTATTCCAGCTGGTCTTCATGGCGGTCCAAGAACAAGAAACAGTGGCCCTTCTAGTCTTACTGAAAGATGGAGATCAGGTGGACGTTGTGACTGTGGTGGCTGGGACCTAGGGTGCCCATTGACGGTACTTAAAAGCAGATCAAGTAACAAAGAGATCTCACCCCAAGGAGGCATGCAAGGAGAGTGCAAGTTAATTGATTTAATCATTCAGGTATTTTTATTTCATTCTATCCCTATAGGCTATATCCGTTATGATTTCAGGTGACCAATGCTATAGGCCTCGTGATGGCCCTACTGAAGGAACTTGTAGCATTTTCCTTTTTCCATTTGCTCTCGTATAATTTTTAGCTTCTGTATTTTCTCTTATAGGCAATTAATCATCTGATGTCTTTCATGTTCCTGGTTAAGATCACACATCATCTATTATGAATATTTCTGAAATTATTATGTTTTGCTTCAGCATTTTATTGTTGTAAAACGAGCAATGATGGTTGTTTCTGTTTTTGTTTAATGAGATTATATAATTGAAGCTCTTCTAGGAAGTTCTAAGAATTATACCATTATAGAGAGACTTAAATGTTTTTTTTTATGTAACATTTATAGAAGCTGTGCATATTTACTGCACCTGAACTGTTTGGTAGCTATATACATCTACTTGAATAAATACTGAGATCAACGTGATCCAACTTCAATTTTTCAGGGTTCAGAGAACAGTGCTCCGCCCTTGAGGATGGTGAATGTCTACAGTGGCTTGTATTTTGTTAATTTTCAGTCAACACTGTCAGCTTTGCAGTCTTTCTCAATTGCAGTGGCATTTATTCATGCCCAGAGTCCAGCTCTGCGACCCCAAAATGTACAGGAGTAAAGTAGCAAGATTCAGGATGAGGTTTATTTAGTTATGTAACTCTCTTACTGTAGCACAACACTTCATAAGTTCATTAAGTATTTACACACAAATATAGATAATAATTTTTTTCCCCAGATAGTTTGTTTATTTAGTGTCTGATTGTCTTCTTATCATAGGTTTTTTGGGTCATTATCTACTGATTGGATTGTTGATTTTCAGACAACAGAACTCATGTAACCCACTCTGTTCTGATTGAGTGTACATTTTTTTTAATTGAAAAATGTACAATTTTTTTTGATACAGTTATTCAAACTGAATGTCTTCATGCCCATTAAGGTAGGACTAGAATTACTGCTCTAATGTTTTATAGATTGGTGGGATGGGGAATTCAGAGCATAAGAAGATTTGATTTGTACTTTATGACAGATATCTTCAATTTTTAAGTTGACATGGATAACGGTTTTCCTCCTTTCTAATTCATGTTTATGCGTGCTAAAGTATTTCAGTCTACTGAACTTACTTTTGTTTTTTGGGAAATTCTTCTTATTACAAGAAATGGAAGAGGCATTACCGTCTAATTTCCATGTTTTGGGAGAACCATAACAGGTTTTGACTTCTGCTTATAATATATGCTGTATCATATTGTGTTATCTTCAACTATGTTTTGATTTGCATGTAGCTTTTGGTGCTGTTTGGTTGACTTGGTCAATTCTGCTCCAAAACAAGTTTCAAGTCGTCGTGGTAAGCTTAAACATCTTCCTTTTTATTTACAATTGGGTCTTATAAATACTTGAACATTCCAAATTTCCTAGAAATGCAAAGGAAATAAGAAGCATGCTTGGTCTTGTTTGCTGAAAATATATGATGTACACTGTTTCCCTTGGAGCTTTTGTGAGGATGAATTGAAAAAGGTGGTGCTGGTGAAGTGTGATTTGGATTCCATGTATACTTTTCATTTGTTTTGAATATTTACATCGTTAAATATATACAGTGTAGCCGGTACATTTCTGTATTTATTGTTGTTTCTTTTATCCGTTGTCCATGTAAGAATTGTGTAGTTCTCTTTTTTTCTGTGACCATTATATAACGAATTAAACAGTATAATTAAATCCCTGTTCTGAAAAAATCTAGGTAAAGTTGTTTGAATTTCCATTTGAATTCACTTCGTTGGAAGGCAATGTTGAGGTGTTTTTATCAGTTGGAGTAACTTTCTTGACTTTGATGCCTTCCATTAAGTGGCTTCTATGAGAGTGGTTAGCACCTACAACCAGGAAAAAGGCAGCAGCAGAAGTTCATAGTTGATTTAGGAATCAGGTTACCTGCTAATTCGTGTAGTTATACCTAAACATGATCATGGACGTGCTATGAGATACGTTTCTGGTTGTCAAAACGCACAGTTGCGGTTCTTCCTATGCTGTCACCATCCGTTCCTAATGTGAAAATTTGAAGATTTGATGTTAGGCTTTGTATTTTTAGAATATAATCTCCTTTACTTTCTGGAGAACATTCGAGTTTGTTGGTGCCAGGAAAGATTGTTAGTGACTTGTGGAACAGTCCGAGGTACTTTCTTGATAAGCTGAGAGTTGAAGGAAAATTGTCATCAGGATGAGGCTTATCTATATGCAAGACCCCATGCCATCACAGTTCAGAGGGTAAACCATCCTGTATCTGTATGGTGATCTTGTCATGATGTGTTAACTGTGCAATCATCGAGCTATCTACATGTATATAAAATAAAAATCTTATACTGTTGCTTTCTCCTTGATTGTGGATTCTGCAGCTTTCTTTGACTTCAGATTTTATTTCTAAGAATCCAATTATTGTTACTATAATACGTGCATGCTTATCTTATTTTAAACAACTGCTTACAGCAATCTAGCAATAGGGATGATAGGCCCCTCTTCTCTGATAGAACTATCGCGTATAGTGCTGAACGATACATCACGTATAAAAAAATCTGTAGTTTACAAAGATATGCCGTTTGTCTTTAAATAGCCGGCCCCCAGCTAGTTAACGATCCAGATTTTCATTGTCCAGTGATGCCGTATAAATCTTGAACGACGCATCACAGGAGTAGCAGCTGTCATTTCCTGGAAGAACATGCGCATGTAAAAAGAATATGCGAAATTGGAGTGGGCTTAGGCCCATTAAAAGATAGTGGCTTGCTGGCTGTTAGATGTGGAAGAGATTTATAGAGGCGTCAGGTTTTAAGGTTTTCATCTAAGAATTTCCTATTGTTAGAGAAAACTATATAGTTAAAATTTAGAGTACTGACTATTTGAATATATTTATACTATATTATTAATTTATAATTAAACGTATTGAGCCCAAATTGTCATTAATGTTGATGTAGAATAAGAACAAACATTCTTCTTGATATAAATAAAATTCTTTAAAAAAATATTTTTCTTAATGTAAAAGAAAGTTCTTATTAAAATTTATAACATTGATGTGTAAACACTCTGAGCAGGTGCTATATAAAGAAGTTCTAGCAGATTGTAAAATGAAGGCTTGAAATATATTGCCAAAACTAAGAAATATATATACAGCAGATGATGACTACTAGCAGCCATAAGGAACTCAACAACCTGAGATAATATCTCAACTAATATAGGGAAAATTAACAGATAATGAAAGCCTATAATAAAGGAACAGGCCATAAGACAATCACAACCTGAAAACTAATCTATCTCAACTAAATTAAGGGAAAATAACAAGATAATGGAAAGCCTATAATTCAATAGACAAGATCATACAGAAACATTATTCTTGTTTTAGCACCCCTCAAGGTTGTCAGTGAGTTTGCAACAACAGACAAACTTGGGAAAAAGAGACATGGAAAAAAGGCACGTTGTGACAGGCTTTGGCTTGAGCAATCTGCAAACTTGATCGTGCAGCATGAGATGACCGAATATTGGCACTGCTTTGCCTTGGAACGTTGGGAATCCTCCACGGACAAAATGGAAAAATTCAATGGAATATGCTTCATTTTACTGGCTGGAACACTGGATTTTCACACAGGGAAATGTTGTCACCAATATTATCACAGAAGATTGTTGGTATATCAGCGCAAAGAGAACCGAAGCTCTGTCAACATAATTTCTAAATCCCCATTTGTTTCAGCTAATTAGTAGGCAGCAAGGCAACCGCACAATATTCAAGCTTCAGTTGTGAGGAACGAGAAACGCGCTCGTTGCTTTTTTAGCAAGGGACCAGAAAATAGGCGACTGTTTCCACCAAGCTATACAAAACAATAGCCTGCCGTGGTGGATAACAGTTTATCGGACTCAACTGGATCTCCAGCCCTCAGTCAGATCTCTCGAGTAATTATGTTAGTTTATTATCACTCTGTTTCTTAGACAAAGTAAACCCATATGTGCGGTGTATTTTAGCATTAACGCCCAGCAACGCGCTTGACTTGCCCCGCCAATGATCAGTAGGAAGCCTGACAATGGCAGAAAACTGCGCAAACGTTTGTTCACAGAGAAAAGCATTATCAGGCCTTTGGTGAATGATAGATACTGAAGGTTTACCTTACATTCGACCGATAAGAAGTCCGTGGCGATCAATTAATATTTTGCAGGAAGAGACTTTAGGTGAGGAACTGTAGAAGCACTCAATAGGTGTAGAAACCCCTTTTTGATTCGTCGCATATTTAGTTCTTGCCAACAGGTCAAAAAATTTACCTCTGTGTGACGAAAGAAGCTAGCCCATTTTTTTTTGAAGGGCAATAACCTTCAACACCACAAGTAAAATAATTTAAAGCCACCAAGATCTTTTTAAGTTGACAAATTAGTTAGTTGGATAAGGAACCAAGAAATCACCCTTGCTTTGAGATTCAATAGCCGATTGGGTAGTATTTACCTGTTACAACTAATATCATTTCCACCGTTAAAACAACAGTACATAAACCATATGAACCCAAGATTTTTGCCATCATGAACAAGGAGGAGTCTAGACTTGGATCGAACTAGGAATCCCACAGACAAAAGATAAACTACCGGGTTCAATGCAGGTGTCTACCAATGCTCCGGTGGAGCTGGTGCCTTTAAATCACCATAAATTTGCTTTTTTAACTTACAAACATAAATGAGGTACGAAGAGGTTAAACCATAAATTGCTTTTTTTAACTTACAAACATAATGAGGTAGAAGAGGATCCTCAAACCCAGGTGGTTGACGCATGTACACCTCTTCATCAAGTTGGCCCTGTAGGAAGGCGTTATTGACATCTAGCTGATGAAGGAGCCAATTATTTTGAGTGGCAAGAGTAAGAACAAGCCGGACAGTTGTCGGTTTAATCACGGGGCTGAAAGTGGAATGAAAGTCAATGCCTGGCCTTTGAGTGAATCCCTTTGCAACCAAGCGAGCTTTGAATCTTTCAATGGAGCCATCTGATTTGTATTTTATACGATATAACCATTTACAATCAACAATATTAAGAGAAGAATCATTAGGCACTAAATCCCAGGTGTGGTTTTTTCTTAATGCATCAAATTCTTCGGTCATTGCTTTGCTCCAGTGAGAGTGTAGTTGTGCTTGCTTATAGGTTGTAGGGGTCGTGAGGAGTGGACTGTGAGCAAGAAGGGATTTTACAATTTTTGGTTTGCTAATGTGATTTTTGGCACGTGTAGTCATAGGATGAACATTTGTGGAGGGTGGATTGACAGAAGGTTGTGGATTATTTGGTAAGGGTGGTGGAGCTGCTAAGGTTTCAGGTAAAGAAGGTGATACAATACCTGATGTTGAGGACAGAGAGCTGGTTGGGACAGCAAGAGCAGGAGCTGAGGGCGCAGAAACAATAGCAGGAAGTAATTCAGTGGACTGAGGTGACGCAGAGGTCTGTGAAACAGAACGGTCAATAACATTTTCCCATTTATGAATATGAAAATTTGATTTCAAATGAGAGAAAATATTACTAAAAGGAAAATCGTTCTCAAAAAATAATACATCGCGTAAGAGATATATTTTAGAAGAAGACGGGTCGTAACATTGGTGACAATAAAATTTGGTGGAAAAGCCTAAATAAACACATGGTTTTGATCGTGGTTCTAATTTGTGTTTGGTATAAGGCCGAAGCCAAGGATAACATAGTGAACCAAAGGTACGAAGAGAATCAAGATTTGGACTTTCACCCGGTGACAATAAAATTTTGGGTGGGAAAAGGCCTAAATTAAAACACCCATGGTTTGATCGTGTTCTAAATTTAGATGTTTGGTATTAAGGGCCGAAGCAAGGATAACATAGTGGAACCATAATGGTACGAGGTGAGAACTCAAGACTTTGGACTTTCATGAAATAATAACTGATTGTTGTGGGGATTTGCCATTTAGAACAGGGCCAGTTGCGAGTAATTTAGTTTTATTGAGGTAGTACAGCTTGGGTAATGCAAAAGCTCTCAAAAATTGAGATCGCCGAAGTGAGGCTGAGTGACAGTAGTGTTTTGCCAGTTTCAGATATATTATGACGATGCCGTGCGTTTTAACAAGTGCATACCACGCTGGGGAACGCCAGTAGTATGGATGGTGCAAATAGAGGTGCCTTCAATTTCAATAGAAGTTTTTAGATAAGTAGACAATTCTTTGGAAAACTCACCACCACCCATTTCTATACTAAAAAGATAAAAAATTTTGGAAATTTAAAAGGCGTTCCTCTAAGGTGAGTGGATTATGGCAAACTTTGTTAAAGACCACTATAACTTCCTTTCTTTGGTTTTGAGAGTGCATAGAACCACATACTTCTATCTTTGGATTTTGGCTCAACAAAAAACACATAATTTTTCTTTTTGTCTATGGGCAAAAGAATGGGGGGGGAAGGACCCACAAATCACTATAAATTTAATTGGAGGGGGATCTTTTATCACTGTGTTAATGAATTTAATTTGGAGGGGATTATCACTGTGTAATAAATTTTCTGAAAATGGAATGCGATGCATTTTATTAATAGAACAAGAATTACAATGCGGAAATTGACTAGGAGAAGGAAAAGAAATAGACATTGTTTTTAAAATTTGACACAGAATGCGTGTATGCGGATGCCTGAGACGACGATGCCAAAAGTTAATGGACTGAGATTTAGTTGCCAATAGGGTTTTGATATTGTTTTGAGGCCACTCATAAAGTCCATTTCTAGTCTGTCCTTGTACCAGGTGCACGCCCGTCGTCAGATCCTTCACAAGAAAATGATATGGAAATAATTCAATAGAGGTATTATTATCACGGCAAAAATGAGAAGCAGAAACAAGGTTGTGTGTGATGTGTGGAGCACAAAGAGTATTAGAAAACATAAATTTATTATTGGATGCATTAAGTGTACTGGTACCAATATGGCTAATCCGAATAGGATTACCGTTACCCATGGAAATTTCCTCCGGTCCATGATATTCTTGCGCCGTAGCTAATGTCTGAGCATCATTAGTGATGTGATGATTGGCCCCTGAATCAATTAGCCAAGGATGCTCATCTTGAGAGTGGGAGGCTGCAAAATGGGCTCTGGCTTGAAAGTGATTGTGGGATGCCGATCTGCAAACTCTAGCTGTATGACCAGGGCGATCACATAATTGACAGCGAATTGAATTGACATATTTAGGTTGTGGAGTAGATCGACGTCCACGCCCTCTGTTGGAAAAATGTGGTTGTCGCCAAGATGGGTATGGCGCTGAGCTGTTATTGGTTATCCGTCGATCATGAGGGGGAGGTGCCACAGAATTAGTACGTTGAGCAATGGCAGCTGTAATTGCAGGATTCAATTTTGGTGCGTCATGTTGAAGAAACAACTCATGATCAAGAAGTTTGTCATAAAGCTCTTTGAGGGGGAGGTGCCACAGAATTAGTACGTTGAGCAATGGCAGCTGTAATTGCAGGATTTAAGTTTGGTGCGTCATGTTGAAGAAACAACTCATGATCAAGAAGTTTGTCATAAAGCTCTTCGTAAGAGATGGGAGTGTCGCGAGAGCGAATTGCAGCCCAAAGTGAGTTGTATTCGGGGCCAAGTCCTTGTAAGATTCGAACAATAAGCTGAGAATTGGTGATTGGTTCACCAGCCGTTGCAAGTTCATCAACAATAGAACGAATGTCACAGAGATAATCAGAAATGGAGCGAGAGTCTTTGGTGAGACGTGCTAGTTTGTCTTGAAGGCTAAGGATTCTTGTTTGAGATTTGTTGGCAAAGGCAGTATGTAAAGATGTCCAGGCTGTATGGGCTGTGGGTGAAAGAGCAACGGGGGAGGCAAGTGTGGGATCAACAGATGCCAAAATGGCATTATGAATCATCTTATCTTGACGAAACCAATGGTGATACGCTGGGTTTGGTTGATGAGTAGTAGAAAGTGTTTGTAAAGGGGCTGCAGTTGAGCCATCAAGATGGCCATATAAATTGTAACCATGCATGATCATCTCTATTTGAGCTTTCCAAATGCTTGATTGAGTACGTAGAAAGTGTTTTGTAAACGGTGGCTGCAGTTGAGCCATCCAAGATGGCAAGGGGCTGCAGTTGAGCCATCAAGATGGCCATATAAATTGTAACCATGCATGATCATCTCTATTTGAGCTTTCCAAATGGTAAAATTTTGACTTCCAGTCAGTTTGATAGGTAATTGGGCAGTGGGATTGAATTGAATAATGGTTTGAGTATCAGCAGTGAGAGCCATGTTTGAGAAGAAAAAAAAAAAATTTGTGCTCGTTGGAGCGTTTACAGCTCTGATACCATAAAGAAGTTCTAGCAGATTGTAAAATGAAGGCTTGAAATATATTGCCAAAACTAAGAAATATATATACAGCAGATGATGACTACTAGCAGCCATAAGGAACTCAACAACCTGAGATAATATCTCAACTAATATAGGGAAAATTAACAGATAATGAAAGCCTATAATAAAGGAAAACAGAGTAATACAAAGCCTATTAATAAAGGAAACAGGATATAACAGAAAACATTTGTTTCTGTCTTTACTATTACCCTTCAAACTTACTGATAATGTTGTGTATGAAACTTAAAATTCAAAGTTTTGATCGTTAATAATATAGAAAACTTTCTTACTCTAGAATATAATGAAGGCTTGAAATATATTGCCAAAACTAAGAAATATATATACAGTAGATGATGACTACTAGCAGCCATAAGGAACTCAACAACCTGAGATAATATCTCAACTAATATAGGGAAAATTAACAGATAATGAAAGCCTATAATAAAGGAAAGATCATAACAGAAACATTTGTTCTGTTTTACTATACCCTTCAACTACTGATAATGTTGTATGAAACTTAAATCAAAGTGTTTGATCTTTATTAGAAAACTTCTACTTAGAATATAAAAAAATTATGATCCTACAAGAATAAAAGAGAGAAATTTGGTCATTTAAATGAGTAATTATTAGAAAGGAGCATGTGAAAACAGAAACAATAAACCCAAAAGACATTTTCCAAGCATTAAGGTGCATGCCTGATGCGTGATTATACCCAAACGCTTCCGCTACCTCAAATTGCTGCCTTTTTACTTTGAAACTGATAAGTAGAAAACAAAGTATAGCTAGCTACCAAACAATTGTCAGAGGAAAATGTACAGACAGTGATCAGTAATCAGGATTCAAGAAAGACAAAATCATAGGAAAATGCGCGGGCTCTCAAGCTTTTAGGAATACAAAGAGGTTTTTACTTGCTGCTAAAGGAAAAGAATGAAAAACATTTAGAATGACTCTGTGAAAGTGAAAGAAACCCCCACATTTCTTCTAGTTTTATCTGGGGTTATTTTGTTTGCTGCATTCAAATTCTTTGAATCAAAGGTGAATCTTTCACTTCTCTCTTTCATGTTTAGTTACCAAGGGATTACTTTTAAGATTGTTGTCCCTGACTCTTAGTGGGAAACCTTTTAAATTTTCCCTTATTTAAGTTTGCTTAAAAAAGTAACCATTTTGCCTTTCAACATATTGTCTTTTAGATAGGAGTTCAATTGAAAAGGACAAAGAAAAAACGCAAACTTTAGGTCTTTTGGAGCAACAGAAAAAAATGTCAGAAAACTCGCAAGTTTTAATTTTAAGGCTTCCGAAGAATGAAAATTAGAATTGTCCCCTGTGACAAAATGGACCATAGCAGTTCCTAAACAGGTAATAATAGTTCCTGACTTGATTTTCCGTGTTACTTGATTTTAAACATTTGGGTTTCTCATGTTTGACCTATGTCCTATGTCCTAAGCCCTATGCTTGCCGTTTTCCTTTTCCGCGGTGCTTTTATGGCTCGTTCCCGTCTTGGCGTAGAGGCAAAAGATAAAAGGAGCATTCTTATGGTCCTTCGAAGGCTTCATGCATGCGTTTGTTGGAAAAATATTGACCCTAGGACTACTCTGCTTCTTACAAGTGGAATGGGTTGTTGAATATTGTATTCAACTTTTTCTCAGCTCTTGTGATTCTGTAGATGGCACTTGTTCTGTCTGTAAATAAGGGACTTTTATCAGTCTTCCTTATTTTTTATTCTCCCTCTTTGTCCTTGTCCTTCTCTATATCATATTTAGTTTGATTACTCTGTTTATTGATTCAAATGATCCCATTGTTAATAAATGGTGCAATGATAGAAGCTATTGAGCTATTTCTAATGAGTATTACGTTGTTAAATGTTAAAAACAACGATTAGGTTGGTTCACTTTCTAAATGTTTTAGAAGATGTGGAATCTTTTGGTTTTTGTTGATGAAAATGGAAAATAGAGGTGGCCCTTTAATTTATATCGTGCAAACATTTGTCACAAGATGCTCCAGCTATTTCATTGCAGTTGACAACCTAAGTGTCATGATCATCTATCCAATTGATTTCACTTAAACAAATTGCGTGAAACCTATGGGGATGAAATGAATGGTATCCCATATGGCATTTGCATATTGTTCAATTTATTTTCTTGAAATTTGAATTTTACTCATGGTGCAACATCATGCAATAATCTTTTTCCTGGTGATAACTCTGTATGTTGCAGGGATATTGACTTGAGTTTGATGATCATGGTTTACTAATATGTTGTGTTTGCATATGCTCAACATCTTAATTATGGACCGTTCTAATTAGCTCTATAGAAACTGACCTCTAACTTTGAGCTTGCCCGTTAGTAATTCTGCTATTTCGGTGGTGCAGATACTTTTTGATTAAATGGGGAAGTGTGTTGTGAGAAGCGAAGGGAGGAGTTCCAGAAATAGGAACAAGATAAACTGTCCGACTAATTCTTCACCAGGAATCGCATCGAAACATAAAATTGAAGAGGCCTGCAAGGCATTGAAGCCTCTTGGCATCTCCAAAGCTAAAGTGAAGGCGAAACTCAATGAACTACTAGAACTCTATGACAATAAGTGCGAGCTTATTGAAGATGAGGGCTACCAGGTTCTGCTCAATGCTACATTGGAGAAATCAGACGAGAGTCAGGTGTACCTTATTGCTTTATGTTGCATATGACCTTTTTACAACATAATGACTTTTCTCTTTAAAATTTCTAACTGAACAATTCCTTCTTCTTTCATTATTCATTTTCATCATACAATGAAAACACAACTATAAGAATATCGATTTACTAATACCTAATCCTAATACAATTCCGTCATTTAATTTAGTCGGACACGTCTCACGAAAGACTGGAGTGTATAAGAGGAATCTTTTCTGTGCTTTAAAGAAGTTTGCAATGTTTGTCAAGCTCTGCAATGACAACAAGTCAATGAAGTGCATAAAGAACCATGACATTGAAGAGATTTATGACAATTAATTTACATTCTGCATTCTTACTCTTGAACAACTGTTAACGGGTACTTTGTGCTTATTATTTATGTTATGATCCTGCTCGTGATTTTTCCTACATTGCTGAATGATGTGTTTGATCAGGGAGTACAATCAAAGAAGAATGCTTTATTTTGTCTTAATTCTGAAGCATCTAAAACATTGCCAAAAACATTATGCACAAGATGCCAGACCAGACAGGCTGCCTCACCAGACAGGCTGCCTCTCTGCAGTAGTTGAATACATCATCTCTGCAGTAGTTGAATACATCATCAGTGAGTTTTTCAGCAGAAGACAAAGACATGGATGTGGTTGAACTCATCTCAGACTCTGGGAGTCATTCAGAGACTGAAGTGTTTAAACCTCCAGTTTCAAGAGTACAGCACGAACCAAGGAAAAAGGCTGCAGCTTCTCCTTCTTCTCCTAACTTGCCAAACAAAGTACATCAGCAAGGAAAGCATGCACAATTGAGGCTGAACCATCTCTAAGGTCTGAAAGTGCTTCAGAAGCTGAAGACTTTGACACTCCTTTGAAAAGAATGCGCACAAGATGCCAGATTAAGCAGGTTTCAACAGTTATGGATAACTCCCACTCGCAGTTGGCGAAGACTTCATTAATGGAAAAGGGCCTTGGACGAGGTTGAATTCTCTCAAAGTTGCATCAAAGAGGTACCTGGGTTAATTCAGTTTAATTGTGAAGATGAACAAACCAATTTGAAGCCTGTTCTGCCATCAGAAAGTGATGTCAAGAAGTGGAAGAAAGCTCATTTGTCTCCTAAAAAGAGAGCAAAGATTGTTTTTTTTTTTTTTTTTTCCCTAATTTTTTTTGTTTTTTTTTTTTCTTATTTTTTTTTTTTTTTTTTTTTCCCTAATATTTTTGTTTCATTATTCTTGTTTCTAAATTATATCTGATGTTCTGATGCTAACTTAATTGAGATCCCAGTCGAAGTAGAGACCGGTAAGCGTCACTATTATCATGTATGTAATCTTGGCATTTCAAGCATCATGTACTTTATGCAGTTCTATTTGCATTTTTTTTGTTCCATTAACAAATGCATGCATTTCCCTTTTCTTATAAAGCTTGCATTTTTCACAAAAAAAGAGGTAGCTGCCATGGAAGAACTTACTTGGGTAAGGATGTGCCTCTTTTTGATGAAATTTGATTTTGAATTTGAGCATTTGGTCTTAATAGATAAACTAATGTGCTCATCTTTTGTTGCAGGACTATGGCGTCAATTTCAATGATACCAGTCATCCAATGAAATCTTTGAAGCCTGTCCTGCCGCGATCCAAATCATTGATAGGAAGAATTCTAGCACACTGATTGCATTTTGGAGACATATGAAGACATATATATATAAGACATATTGAAAGACATAATGTATATATATATAATATATATATATATATATATATATATATATATATATATATATATATATATATACATATACAATTTATTCTATTTTGGTCATTTTGTAATACGTGCATATACCTTCTGGTAGAAATTTCAAAGGTACAACTCTGGTGTTCTTTTCTCATGGTCTTCTGATTTTAATTCCGTTTGGAAAGCTTGAAATTGCAAAGTTATTCAATGATTATTTTGCCCATTTGAAACTAGTTCCAAATTGTGGCACTCAACTTCTCAAAGCCTTTTATATACATATACAATTTATCTATTTTGTCATTTTGTAATACGTGCATACCTTCTGGTAGAATTTCAAGGTTACAACTCTGGTGTTCTTTCTCATGTCTTCTATTTTATTCGTTTTGGAAAAGCTTGAAATTGCAAGTTTCAATGATTATTTTGCCATTTGACTAGTTCAATTGTGGGCACTCAACTTCTCAAGCCTTTGCTTTTCTTGAAATTTGTTTTTTTCCTCTTTGGAAAGGTTGGGAAGCCATAGTGTCTGTGGTGATGCTTGTAGTATTTGCGGTGATGCTAGTAGTATTAGCTTCTTAAGATAGGTTTGGTTGTTTTGTTACCAAAAAGTATTGTTTGGGAGGTCACGTATGTCAACCTCATTAAATACATTATTTTTTTTACAAAATTTGACTGTTAGAGTTTGTTTACTTCATATTTAGTGCCTAGATATGCGTTTAAAATAAAAATTATATCATTTATCTAAAAGGTTAAAGGTTTAAAATTTCAAATTATCTCTATATATAGAATGTGTAAATTCATTGTAAATCTATAGAAATAAAAATAAATTTGTTGCAAATCTATAGAAATAAAAATAAAGAGAAGATTTAGACTTACATTTCAAATAAAATTTGTAGAAATACGAAGTTTAAATAGATTTTAATTTTTAAATTCTCATCTATTAAGACCAATCCCAATGAATAACGAGTAATGGAGAGGAAAAAGGAAAAAGGAAAAAAGAAAAGCATTTGCAAACAATTTTTGGATTTTAACCTACAGTTTTATTTAGGCCCAAAAGCCTTACAAGGCCGACAATTGGGCCACTCGTAGCGGAATGACATTATACAGAAAGGCCAAGGAGTGAACCGGAATTACATAAAGAGAAATCAAAACACAAGACAAAAACCCTAGATATAAAGCCGTCTATATAAATTCCCAAAACCTTAATTCCAAACTTCGTTTTCCCTTCAGCAGTCGAAAATGTCGAAGCGAGGTTAGTCCTTTCGTTCTCCGCCTTCTCACTCCCTCATTCTTCCACTTTCCCTAGAAATGGAAGCATAAAAAAGTTTCAATGAGTCATAATGGATCTCTTGCCTGTTTCAATTCCTATAAGATCTGTTTGTTTTGCGGTAAAACAAAATCACTGACATTAGCTGCTGTTATTTTGTTGTCGTAACAGGACGTGGAGGATCGGCAGGTAACAAGTTCAGAATGTCACTGGGTCTGCCAGTGGCGGCGACAGTGAACTGCGCCGATAACACTGGTGCTAAGAACCTCTACATCATTTCGGTGAAGGGAATCAAGGGTCGTTTGAATCGTTTGCCCTCTGCTTGTGTTGGCGATATGGTTATGGCCACTGTCAAGAAGGGAAAGCCTGATCTCAGGAAGAAAGTCATGCCCGCTGTCATTGTTAGGCAGCGCAAGCCATGGCGCAGAAAGGATGGTGTCTACATGTACTTTGAAGGTATTAGTAGTGACAATTTTTGTTTTTACTGGGATTTATATTGCTTGCTTAGAACGCTTAACTGGTGTTGATGTCTCTTGTTAATAATCTCTATTATGTTTGGCTTGAATGGATATTTGAACATAAATCAGTTCATTTCTTTATGGTTACTGTGTATTGTTACGAAGAAGCTGTTGTCTAGTTTGGTGTTAAAGTTGCAATTAGTTTTATTTTGAGAATTTTTTTCATTGTAAAAAGGGGAATTGGGATCAAAACTTAACTAGTTTGGTGACTTTAGGTAGAAAGAATAGTGTGCATGCAGAAGTGGCTGGTTTAAGTGGCGTTCTGATGGGTGCATATCTTAATTCAAAGACTGTGCCTACTATGATATGATGCTTCATGAGACCAGCAATAGTGAACCACAGTCGAATATTTATTGAGTGGGCTATCTCTATCGTAGAATCTCACTTTTCGCAATTCGACATAGTCGATTTTCATTTCTCCTCCATGTTTTCCTATTCTTAGGATTTTTCAAAACTATGCTTTTGATGATCTTTATATGGATTTGCTGGTGATGTGGCGGGGAAGATTTTTTTTTCCTGTGCTTCCCATACCCAGCAATATAGTATCTACTAATCTTACCCCTAATCCAGATGGTAAATTCATTGTCATCCCTGTCACGGTTGGTATATGCAATATCCATAACCTTCATTTCCCAACTTCTGTAGTTTTTGATTTTTATATTGCTTTTGATGAATCTACTTATCTATATATGCCTTTTGCATTGAGGCACTAAGCCTTTTACCGGTTCAAATAATATGCTATGTTAAAAAATTCAATTGAAGTTTTCCCTGTTGCTGAAACTCCTATTGTCTAATGATATAATATGTTATCACCAGACATAAGTCAGGTATCCACCCAAACATGCAGTGGTTGATACAGTTACACGTCTGGAAAATCAACTGTGTTCCTCGTTACAGATATGCCTAGGCTATCAATGCTCATATCTGCTCCATTTGAACCGTACATTCTCTTTTAAAAAATATTTTGTTTTTTCAGATTATCAAGTTTTTCAATGTGTTGTATGTCTGTGTGTTCTTTGTGTTAGTCTGTTACTTCTTCTTTCTTTCTATGCATTTTACTTTTTTGCTTGTCTAGTTAACAAGGATGGTACGCAAAGTTTGTCATGCATGTTTCAAATTTGCTAGGGTCAATGCTTGTTGCATATGGGAAATTATTTTTTCTATGTATTTTGTGGTTTAGGTTTCTGAATCGGAAAATTCTGTGTTTGCAGATAATGCTGGTGTTATTGTGAACCCCAAAGGTGAAATGAAAGGTACAAAGCTGTATATTTAAATAATCACTATTTCTGCAATTTTAAGTACTAAAAGGTAGTGTAATTAAAGATGAAATCCTGGTGAATCTCTGGTTCTGATGCTCGCTTTAGGTTTGAGCTTTACAATTCAGCTTTCTAGTTATTCTTTTCTTGATCTTAAATCTCACTGATTACCCTGTTGATTCAGGATCTGCAATTACTGGTCCAATTGGAAAGGAATGCGCTGATCTGTGGCCAAGGATTGCAAGTGCAGCTAATGCTATAGTATAAGAGTTTGCTACTTTCTTTCCCCACTGGGTTGGGAGCTATATTGTCACAGTTTTATTCCTTGAGAGTGTAGGATGTTCCTTTGAACTTCAGCAAATTTTGTTTGTGGATTATGCATTTGGTTAATGACATGGAATTTATGCAGGAAATGTCAATTTTATTGGTTTTGTTTCTGAATTTCAAAATTTTCGGTTGCTCATCTCTATGTTATAATATTTACTATATAATTAAGTGTTCTATGATTAATTTCACAATTGATAATTGGAGTTATCGCTAATTACTTTGGATCATATGGAAACCAGAAAAAATGAAGAAAATGTTACAGAAGTTAAAAAAAGAAACAACAAACATTACATACATAACCGTAACGGCAACATTTCCGACCATTCGATACTAACTTGACGCTTTCCTCAACAGCGGATGGAGCTGGCATAGAAAGTCCTCTTAGTCTCGTGAAGCTTCAGCAATCTCATTAAGCTTGTCTTCAAGCATAACAAACTTGAGATGGATTTGACGTTTTAGGTCATGCTCAATAATGTCATTGTTAGGCTTTCTCATCAAATCTTGACTGCTAATATCCTTATGCCTTCACCAGGAATTTGTTCTTCTGTATATGATCAGTTGCCTCCTGACCCTCTTGGGATTTGTATTCCCATCCTATTTTACGGAATTCCACACGATAAGAGAATGCACCTTCAAAATTCTATGGAGTCGTTTTCTTTATCCTTCAAAACAATCTTTTTCTTATCCTTATCGGCTTGGTATACGGATAATCTCGTTTTTTATTAGCTTGATATATGTATAATCTCATCTCTCAAAAAATTCCCATAAAAACACAGAGTTTTAACTCTTATAGGAGGCAAAAACATGAGTTTTAACTGCTATAGGAGGCCGAATTTCGCGACAACATCCGAGACTTCCAAAATTTGCCTCAGGAATGCTATCAGACATTGCAAACTATGTAATATCAACTCAGTATCAGGCGAATTCTGGGGGGACAATTAGGGAGCGCCGGGTTAATCTCAGCAACACTAGCTCCACCTCGAACATAGAATTGAAAAGCTAGCCTTTCGAATTAGAGTAGACAAAAAAGAGACAGAGACAATGTTATAGCTGGAAAGAGGAAATATTTACCTCACAGACAAAAAAAACTAATAAACGAGTAATACATTCAAGGACACGCTAAGCTTGTACATATGACGATTTTTTTACTGGCTCTAAGATATTAATCTGAGATGGTTTGCAGTATCTGCACAAGGTGAATACCATTTCTCAATTTATTACAGAAGTAACAATTTGCTCATATCAGCTTTACTTCACATATAGCAGCCACCATTGCTTTACATTCTAATACATCTTAGACTCGCTACCCATGTTCATTTTAGCACAATATTCGAACAAACTACCATCAAAACAGCGCCGAACAGCTTCTTTAGATAGAAAGCCTTCTTCATCTCTAGCGAGAACATAGAGTATACCCCACTCTAACTTGGCTGCAACCCTGCAGGCCATTGCTGAAACGTAAAAAACCAAGCTTGAAACCAAGAAATCGCACAAGAACCTAAATATTAGTCCTGAAATATACCATCCAAATAAATCGAAGGCAACTCGCTGTCCCTGTGTCATGTCCCACAGCTCGCCAAATGTTAACTTATCAGGAGCTGTATTAGCATACTTGCTGAAAATGTTCTCAAGATTCACGGGCATATATCTACATGGAAGTTCGATAAACATGCAATAGAGTTGTAAATATCAAGGATTAAATTGAATGAGATATATTGACAGGGTAAATATATGTATAGTTCCTACCGTCCTTCCGTGTCGTAAGTTCCTGAATCGCTACCATGCTTGGCTTTGTGTATGTTGCGTATGTATATGGGTAAAAAGGGCGACGGAAACCACCCCTGTGCGAAAACAATGAAAGACAGACAAGAAGGGCAACATATATCTTATCTTCAACCTCAGATAACGTATAAGTTACAATCATACATTACTTCATTCCTTCTAAAGGGTGATGATTAAGAAGTCATTGCGATTTAATTGCTTTTAATATCAGAAATATTGAAGTCAAGTTTACTTACGGGCAAAGTAGGATAGCTCAGGCCTCCATTGATGACCAGGGCCATAACAAGAGAGACAATTGGGTTAAAACCAACTGCACGCAATCCTGTGATAATTGCAGATGGGAGAAATTTCATATTAGAGAGGAAAAGAAAGAATCATAAGCTTCGGCTAAGCTCATACTCGGACTCATCTACTAAACAGGTTTTCAATTTAAGCTCAAACTTGGTTGATTTAATAAATGAGCCAAGCACCATCCTGTTCATATAACAGTCAAGAGCCTAAACTAGACAAGATTTGAACATCACATTGAAGATGGTGAGTTTCTTTGAAATTTTAACTCAGGCTAGAATGCCAATCCAAAGTGGCCTATCCCTGAAGATTTTATGAAGTCGAAATAAAGTACCATAAAGAAATTTATTAGCAATCAACATTCAGCAGTATAGTTTTTTCCCACTGTTTTAGAAAAAAAGCATATATGATTAAAAACAACCTTGTGCCCATTCATTTCATCCAAGAATTAAATTTTACAAAAAAAAAAAAAAAAAAAAAGAATGCAATCCAAGTGGCCCTATCCCTGGAAGATTAAATGAAGTCGAAATAAGTAGCCATAAAGAAATTTATTAGCATCCAACATTCAAGCAGTAAAATAGTTTTTTCGCCACTTGTTTTAGAAAAAAGCATATAATGATTAAAAAAACAAACCTTGGTGCCCATTTCATTTCAATCCCAAGAAATTAATTTTACAAAAAAAAAAAAAAAAAAAAAAAAAAATCCATGTATTCTGTTTCCCAGTAATAAGTCTTCCATGGGGTAAACTATTCCCATTGTTCATCTTTGGTCCCAAAAAAGGCCACATGTTTGTTGAAGGCACTGCCCAAGCCCATAATTCTTAACTGAACCATGGTGGTTCCCGAGATGTTTCAGTATCAGGAGCTTTGCAATGCTCTTGCCATTCGTCGTGTTGTACTCCACTTCTACGTCTAATTACATCTGTTTTACACACAGTAAACTTTAAAACATATGAATTTACAAAATCAAGAAACTAGAATTTGGTGGTCCAAAAAAAAAAAAAAAAAAAAAAATCCATGTATTCTGTTTACCAGTATAAGTCTCCCATGGGTAAACTATTCCATTGTCATCTTGGTCAAAAAAGGCCACATGTTGTTGAAGGACACTCAAGCCATAATTCTTATGACCTGGTGTTCCCTGAGGATGTTCAGTATCAGGAGCTTGCAATGCTCTTGCCATATCTGTTTTACACACAGTAAACTTTAACATATGAAAATTTACAATCAAGAAACTAGAATTTGTGTCCAAATTACATTCACAGAATCTGTTCATAGATCCAAAACACACCCACTTTTTCTTTTGTTGTAAGTATTTTAGATTCAGATTAATTAAAGATAACGACTTGACAAATTCTGGACTTGTTGCAAGAAAATTCAATTTTAAACAATACTTCTAATTCTTTTTAAACAAAAAACTGAAATTTAAACGAAAAAGGAAAAGAGAAGAAATAAAAATACTCACAAGGCTTGGGCAAGGTAGTCTCCAAATCATCTCGAACAGGTCTGTGGAAAGTAACGGGTGCAAAAGGGGCTGCTCTATCCAGTGAATCGTCCGTTCTAGTAGCCATCTTTCTCTCTTAATTTCTGTTTCTCTCTATAACAAGGTTTCATTTTTGCGTCTGTAATTTCCATTATAAAGAGTTGAAGAAGGGTAGCGTGGCATCCATGCAGCGAAAGATGGTCGCTTGGCATCTTATGGTTTGCTTGTGCCATATGCTGTGGCACTTTGCATGCTTTCAACCACTATTGCATCTGTTTTCTGTTTAAAAATTAGACCAACTAAAAAAATTAAAAATTTCAATTTCAAAATCGATGTAAATTAATAAAAAAAGCTAACTTGGGTTAGAATTATTTTTATGGCTGTAGTAAATGTGCTTTCTAATAAAATGTATAAGTAAAATATTTCTTTGAGCCGCAAGTCATTCGTAAATGAACTGCTGCCCACGGTGCCAGAACTTTCACGCATAGAGCGTAAAAATTCATTCTATACAATATGGAATTGCAAAAAAAAATAACTGTTTCTTTGAGTTACCAAATACCAATCCAGCTGCGTATGGACAACCTTATGAGATTGACAATAAGTGAAAATGATTTTTTCTTTTTCTTGTAGAAGACACAAATGTCTTCAACAAACAACATGTCTATATGTACCATTTGATTTTGGTAATGGCATTTCAATCTTGTATTTTCTTTATGTTTACATCATCAAGTAAATCATATGCATTTGTTTGCTAATAAGAAACCTCCTATCCCTTGTGTAAACATACCCAATTTCTTTCTATTTAAAAACAAAATAAACTATTATAAAGATAATAATTTAGAAAAATGAATGAATTGAAGGATGGTTGAAATGCATTTGATTACAAAAATTTATTCATTTAAATGTGTGATTGATAAAAAATAAAATTGAGATGATAAAATAATTATAGGTGAAATTGTAAAAGAATATTGAGATGAGTGATTCAGCATTTTTTTTTTTTCTTTAAGTGAGATTGAGAGAACAATCTTCGTAGATGCATCAAATATTAACTCGCTCACTTTATGCATTATTAGACTCGGCACAAAGAGCACTTGATCCTATAGTGTATGTTGAGGACATCTATTGTTAATAGAAGAAAATAAGTAAGTCATAGTTAGGGCCTTCTCAAAATTTAATTATGCTAATTTCTATTTTTGGCCTTTATCTCACATTAATAAAAATATAATTAAAGCATTTTTTATTTGAATTTATATTTAAAATATCCTCTATCTTGCTCATTTAGATTAGTTAGTTGATTTTGCCAGTTTTAAATTGCACAGAACCGTATGTCAGAAGAATGTTTGCTCGAGTTTAATGGCTGAATTATCCATGATATAATAGTTGTTGCTTATTAAGGATGTGCTTATAGTTGCTGTATTTTCTCTTTTATTTACCAAAAAAATATCTTTAATTATACTGTATTATGTTCCATTTTGATAAATTAAAGATTAGTGGTAATATAATTTCCCGATAAAACTTGTTTAAACCCAGCACAGGAGATGCAAGTAGTAAATCCTATTCTCTAATGATGGACATGGACCCGTATAATGGGCCAGAGAGCCCAATCCAATACAAATCTAATGCCGCGACCAACAAATTTGGCAACTGCAGAACACAAACCCTCCGTTTTAATTTAAGAAGTGGAGAAAAAAAAAAGAAGAATTCTCTGAATTTAGCATCTAGCCTCTCCAATCCACAGAAACGCAAATCTTTAGCTTAAGCAGAGACAACATACAGAAAGAGAAGGAAAGAGAATGGCGACCGAAACAGCAATAGAAGGAACTGCGGCGGAGGCAGCAGCGATTGTAACAGAGAAGCCACCGTCGCATAAGTTAGAGCGGAAGTGGACGTTCTGGTTTGATAATCAATCGAAGCCTAAACAAGGCGCCGCATGGGGCACATCTCTCCGCAAAGTCTACACCTTCGACACCGTTGAGGAATTTTGGTGGTATTTAATATCTCCCTTTACTTATATGCCGGTAGATCTGGTGATTCTTTTTCCTGTTTGTGTTTGTGAGGATTTAATTACGTTTCGTTTCAAATAAAAATTTTTCCCAACGTGGAGATAACCAATTTCATTATGTTCTTAGTTGATTTAATTTGGTGAGCTTAGGAAAAGGGAAAAAAAATTTCACATTGAAAGATTGTTGTTCTTTTTTTAGTCTGTATAATCAGATATTCAAGCCCAGCAAACTCTCAGTAAATGCTGATTTCCACTTATTTAAAGCTGGAATTGAACCCAAATGGGAAGATCCTGAGTGTTCTAATGGAGGGAAATGGTCCGTTGCTTGTGGCAGGAAGCCTATCCTTGAGAACATGTGGCTAGAGACTGTAATTCTCTGTCTCCAATTTTGAATTTTTACTTGTCTTAATTAAATTTTAGTGGAAGATTTATTGGCATATGAATAATGGGTTTATAATTGGCTAGTTGATGGCGTTGATTGGGGAACAATTTGATGAGTCCGATGAGATTTGTGGCGTGGTTGCTAGTGTGCGCCAAAGGCAGGATAAATTAGCTTTATGGACCAAAACGGCAACGAATGAGGCTGTCCAGGTTCAAAATCTCTCCTTCCTTTGCTGTATATACCATTCGGAAAATTGAAATATATATTTGCATGCTGATTTTAAATGATGTCTTGGAGCAATTGATTTTACCTTTTGTTTGGCAACTTGTATAATGATCCTAAGACTAAAATTGCTATTGAGCTTGCATGTTATGAAATTCATATAAAGGACACGCTTGGCTTCCTTGCATATGCTGGGTGGTCTATATCCTATCTGCACTCTGTCCTTGCTATTCCAAGGAGAGTGGAGAAAGTGTGATTACTTATGTCATGTTGGTTTAGCAAAGATTCGGATGCAAGAAAATTGTCTGCTTCCTCTCACTGTCCATGGCAATGTAGGTTCCAAACCTAAAGTACAATTCACTTAATTCTACAAAAGCATTAGATTTTGCATCTGGAAGAGAATATAGAATGTAACCTGATGATGAAGAGACATGGAATTAGTTCTTGCCAAAGCTGACATCCATATAACCTGGAACTTGGTTATCTATATGAATCTCTTGCTTGCTCTCTGTCTCTGTCTCTTTTTCTCTTTTATCACTCTGCTTTGGATGGGATGTCATGCTACTAATCCTGTTGTCTTGGTTTCTCTGTTTTGCTGATCACGTGTATGCTTATCTCCTTTATCCAAGCTGCTGGATATGGTGGTAATGCAAGAACTCTCCCTGGTTTACTTGATGACATGCATTTATCACATTTATTCAAGTTGGTCATTTTTGTTGTTCGCAAAAGTTTCCATGTTGCAAAAGACATTTGTCCTGGGTTTTTTGTGTTGGTGTTTATTGTCCTTAAATGCTTTGTGCTTAGGAGTATGCACTCTGTTTATTGTGGTTCCCCACCAGGTCCTAACTGAATAATGTCATTTTGATTTTGTTGTGCAGATGAGCATCGGCAAGAAGTGGAAGGAGATTATTGATGTCACTGATAAGATCACTTACAGCTTCCATGTAATCTTTATTTTGTTGTTCTATCAGATTCTAGGAAATTTTACTTTTCCTTGGAGGTCTAATTATCTTGATAATTGCAGGATGATTCTAGAAGGGAAAGATCTGTCAAAAGCCGATACAGTGTATAAGCACTCTTTGATAGTTTTGCATGATCAGCAATGCCAAGAAGTGGGACATATTTGGATGGAGATGCCCTAGATGGGATGTATTTTAATGTTTCTTTAGTTATTGACAATTTTCTATTTTTACCAAAGCATTGTAGCATCTGGAAAATCTGTATGAGAGATTATTGTGTTGTGCCTTATACATGTCGTAGAAGAAAGTACCTTACTTATTTTCGGTACTTGATTATTTAACTCCAGATGGAGTTATTTTTGGAAACAAGATAGATATGTTGCCACATGAATGATTGTCAATACTTCCAAACTGAAGGCTGCAAACAATAGGCTACTACGCTTGGGTGGGCATATTCTTGATTATTCATTTGATCGCTTGGCTTTTGTGATTTCTATAGGCTGAAAACTCGAAAAAGTTTGCAGATAATTGTGGCCAGAAAATGGAAAGGCATCGTTACAAGTATTATTTAGATCCAAGTAAAAGTTTGGAGACAAAGTATTACAACTAAAATTAAGAATGACAGAGTACTAAGCTTCTGATTCTAAAGTACTCAGATGAAGAGAACATTTACATCTGAAAGTGCTTGAAATAAACTATGGATTTGGAACATTTTAAATGCTGATGACAAATTTTTTGAGTATTTAATTGGCCCTTTACTCAAGCCAGAAATCCAAGTCTTTCTCCATTCTTCTTGGCCAACCTAATCAGTCCCTGCCTTTGTTTTGAGTCTGCTCCTATTGATTTGCAGAATTCAGTAATTACCTGAACAATTGCCATGTTATCAAGTTAAGCAACTTGGTAAAATTTCTTTTAAACACCAATTAATTGTTCCACCAAAAAAAAAAAAAAAAAAAAAAAAACTTGGTAAAGATATTCTTTTAAATGCACATTAATTGTTCCAGCTAAACCAAAAAAAACAAAAAAAAAAAAAAAAGAATGTTTATCAACTAATATCTAAAAAGCAGCAACCAAATTTTTTTTGAAAAAATCACTAAAAGTGTGGTCTATAAGTGAAGTTAATGTTTTCAGTTACACAAAACAGAAACTAATAATAACAATATATAATTTTGGAATATGTTTGTGGTGATTATTTTCCAATTCTTCTCGAAACAGTCTATTTCTCAAATTATGAGGATTCAAAGAGTTTCTGTTTCCAAGAAAATTAGAAAAAAAAAAAAAAAAAACATAGAAAGATAGCAAAAAAAAAAAAAAAAAAAAACATAGAAGATAGCAGCAAAGCAAATCTAACCAGAAAAAAAAAAAAAAAGTATTTCCCGAAGAAATTAAACAAGAAAAAAAAACGAAAAAAAAAGAAAAAGAATCTGTGAGTCTGAAAAAGAGTGAAACTTTAGGAGGAAAAAGAAGTATAGAGCTACTGTAATTCATGATTTTGAAAAATTAAAAACTAGAAGAGAAATCCAGATAGATTACATAAAATACCTGTGAGTGTAAGGCAATTGCTTTCCCTCTAAGCTGATTGAACCTTTTCTTGCCAACTATATTGCGTGTAACAACAACAAGAGGTGCAAAAAGACCTTTCCCTTCATTAACATTTTTCATCATTGGAGCCATTCTTACTGGCTTTGCAACCCTAACATGGTTAGGCACTGACTTAGCCAACATGGAATAGTCTTCGCCAACCTTAAATGAACTGGTACCAAAACCTCCTTTAAACCCAGTTGCTGAAATTGAAGTAGCCATTGAAATATACTTCAAAAAATTAGTTCCGCGAGATTTCTTGAGCTCTACCTTCTCTTCCTACGGAAAGTAGTATAATTTTGGTGGGTTTCCCTTCTTTTTTCTTTTTGTGTATGTTCTTTGGCTGTGGAATGATATTTTTTGGTGTGAGATATGAGAGCCTTAGGTTTTTTATTGAAGAATGGTGTGAGAGAAGGTTTCATGGAACAATAATAGCCACAAAACAGAGATGGCTTGGATTTTAGTGGAGATTTCCAAACACGTATATTACTTGTACTGCTCCTGTTGTAAACTTATGGTTGCAGAAAATCTAGATCTTGAATTTTAATGGTTCTTTCTTCTGGGGTAGGGCCCATTAAACCATCTGTTCACACGCTGGACATTACCTGGCCGTTTCAATTTAGGTTGGAAGATTTACCTAATTAACTTGAAAAACAAAATTGAATAAAATCAGCAAATAAATGAACGACACAGGAATTGGAGTTGAATAGTTCTTGATATTGACTAGGACTATTGAATTGAGAAACACAATCAAATTGCATCTCCGTTCCTATATTCTTGGAAGGTACATAAAAAGCTGCTGCAACCTGCATGTGAAGAACATGCTTGTGGAATGTTCATATCATGTTGAATCCTAACTTTAGCTCATACGGCGAAGAGTTTCCGTAAAATGTTACAGTTGTTTCCAGAATTGTGAGTTTGTGACTCAAACCTTGATCAGAGCCTAACTAATAGAAAGTAAAAAAGAACACAGAAATAGGATAAAAAAAAAATCAAATGATAAATTATACAATATAAAATCACATCTATAGAACTCCAGCTATTAACCGGTTAACCTTTCAAAAAAAAAAAAAAAAAAAAAAATCATAAAGAATGTTATTCTGAAAAAAAAAAAAAAAAAAAAAAAATCCTCGGTCATAAAGAATTGTTTATTCTGTTTTTTCTTGTTCAATTTCAGTTGTTCTGTAATTGCTATCACAAGCCACTGGTACATATAACATACAATTGAGAAAATTTTCCTTAGCCTTTTCCATTCCACTTCAAATGACAGCACAGTTTTTGTTGATTGTTTTTGATACGGTTGTATTCTTGACGCCTAAGGAGCATCCATGCTTTTTTAAACGACTGGGGAACTGACTGGTAAGTAAATGAAATCCCCTTGAACAGCCTGCTTAATCTGGTCAGTTTCTGAAACAATGGAATTTACCAGTTCTCAAAAAATTTGGGCTGCTAACAAAATCCTTTAGATATCTTTTCAGTCAAGTCAGAAACAAGAGCATATTTGTTGCTCTCGTAACACGCAGTTTTAAATGCAGCCAAAGTTATTCTATCCACGCTGCGCTCCTTCTCCAACAACTTATGAAAGAACAATGCAGCAATGCCTACTTTCTTCTCACAACAGAGCTTCCTGATCAACGTATTAACTGTCCGAATCCAGAGTTTTTTCTCTAGCCTCTCCAAGATAATCATAGCAGTAGCAGAATCACCCTTTTTGCAATACTCATAAGCCAATGTCACCCTAGTAACTTCACATGGGATTAGCCCCTTGTCAATCATGGTTTCATACAACTGACAAGCCTCATCCAACTTTGATTCGTTGCAAAGCCCACTTATTAGAGCTCCATATGCAATACTATCAGGTGCGCAACCATAATCACTCATCTTATGGAAAAACTTTACAGCTGAGCCAACACGCCCATCTTGACAGTACCCACTTATCATTGATGTGCATGTTTCCTTGGTTGGAAGCAAACCAAGTTTCATAGCTTCCTCAAAAAGTTGCTCACTTTCTTTTGTTCTTTTTTGCCTACAGAAAGTTGCAATCAGAACATTATATGTATGCATATCAGGTTGTTGGCCAACTTTAAACATCCTGCTAAGAACCGCCAGGGCCTGCCTATAATCAGCCTGCCTGCAGAGCTCAGATATGAGGATAGTATATGTTACCCTATCAGCCTGTAATCCACATTTTAGTCCCTTCTTAAGCAGTTTATAAGCCTCTGGAAACCTTCCTTTTTTACAGAGGCCATCGATAAATGCATTATATGTAAAGTTATTAGGAGAGAATCCTTCTTTACCCATTAAATCCATCAACTCATATGCTCTTTCAAAGTTCCCTGCTTTACAATGCCCGTCAATGAGACAAGTATAAGTGGTGGTGTTAGGAACCAATCCCTGTTCTTTCATCCTGCTCAACAGCATCTCTGCTCGATTCAACTTTTTTTCCTTGCAATACCCATTGATCATGCAAGTATATGTACATGCATTCGGTTTGTAATTATCACTCCTAACAAGCTTAAGAAATAATCTAAATGCCCTTTCAGTCCAACCCTTCTTACACAACCCATCAATTAATGCTGTATGAGTGTATACATTTGGTTTCCAACCTTTTCTGACCATTTCCTCTAACATCTCAAATGCTTGCTTAATGCTACCCCTCTTGCACATCCCATTAATCAAAGATGTAAAATTGATCAAATTTGGTCTCAAACCCATATCAATCCACTTATTAAAATACCAAAAAGCTCTATTAACAAAACCTTTCTCACAAAATGTGCTAATCATTAAAGTACATGTAGCATAATCAACCACGAAACCTCTATCAAGCATATCCTTTAACCACCTATCAGCGTCTGAAATTCTGCCCATTCTACAATAAGCAACAACCATCAATTTATAACTGATGGGATCAGGACTCACTCCTCTATCACGCATTTCGTCAAACACGTTCTCTGCGTAATCAACCAAACCCATATCACCGGCAATCTCAAGAACAAAATTCAAGTTTCGAGAATTCAATACCAAGCCATGATTTTGCATTTCAATAACCATACTAACAGCCTCCTTCAATCTCCCAATATCAGCAAAGCTCCTTACCATATATTGCATCACTTCACGGGCTCTATCCAAATTGCCATTATGAATAAAAGAAGTAGCACAAACGATGTATAATCTCATGAAATGCCTAAACTTGGCAAACCCAATTGCCCAATTGAAGAAACTCAATGCCACCATCGAACCCGCTTCCTCTGCAAGTGAAGCAACAACTGTAATGGCCTGATCATGGGTCAAAGAATCGGGGTCGATTTGGAGATTAATCTTTGGAGGGGATGGTTTTAAGTAGGAGGTCTGTTGACAATAAGATTCCAAGACCAGTGAACAAATTGACCTGGCAGAAAACTGCGGCGGCGGCGATGAAGATAACGGTGAAGTGGGCTTATCGCTACTATATTCATCGTTGTTGTGCTGGTAGAAACGTAGCGAGTTAGTAGAGAAGACGGAGAACAGAGAGTAGTAGCAGAGAGAGTTAAGTGTTGGCGAAAATGAGAGTTTCATTTTAAGTCCATTGGATTTGCGAATGAGAAGAGACACCATTAACTCATCTATGCATAAGGAAATGGATGCTTCAAGAACTCGCTATGTGTGTTTTTGTGTTTATAAATGAAAACTTTAATTCCGAATATTTAATATTACCTCCTTAGCATTATTTGCAGTATTAAAAATTTAATGATAAAAATTATTTTATTTTTTTATTTTTAAAAATTTTTTAAAATGTCAATAAAAGTTTTTCATTTAATGAACAATCATAAAAATTAAATAAATTATTATGAAAAAAATTATTTTTTACATATATAAATTTAAAAACTTTATAAATATTTTAAAAAATTTAAAAATAATAATAACAAACAAATAAAATAAATCGGACGAAGTATTTATTACTTAATAATGCTAGTAGAAAAGAAAATTTTCTTTAATTACTAAATGTGCAGTATTTATGCACTATTATTTGAATCTTCGCTGCAGTAATTGAATATTATATTACTCATCATTTCAAAAAAAAAAATGATATTACTATAATTTATTATTTTAATTTAATATTTTTTATTTGAAAAATGCGTGGCGGTAGTGTTTCCTTTTCCAGAAAACATTCTTTAAATCGATACGAATTTGTAGTAAGAAAAACACGAATCTAATAACTTGCAGCCTTCACATATTCTTATAATAAAATTATCTCATTCCTAATACTTGTCAAAAAAATATTTTGTTCCAATATATTTATTACATTTATAATTTTAAAGAGTAATAATTTTTTTTATATATACTCTTTGTATATAATCAATAATTATTACTTCATTATAATTTTAAGAGTTAATAATTTTTTTAATATATACTCTTTGTAATAATCAATAATTAATTACTCAAATTTAATGTTTTCTCAGAGAAAGTTAGTTATTAATTAAAGGGTATAAGTCAATATCAATAATTTATTGTAATTTTTGACAAAATTAATGATTTTTTAAGGATGTTGAAATTTTAAAATGATGACAAAGTTTATGAACAAGAGTAGTACTCCTTCGGTTCGTCTTACCTTTAGAGTAATAATCAATAATTATTACTTCAATTTAATGTTTTTCTCAGAGAAAGTAGTATTAAATTAAGGGTATAGTCAATTTATTCAATAATTTATTGTAATTTTGACAAATTTAATGATTTTTTAAGGATGTGAAATTTTAAAATGTGACAAGTATTATGAACAGAGTAGTACTCCTTCGGTTCTCTTACTTTAGAGTAAATTTTCATTTTCAGTGTTTATTTTATATAAAAAACTTTACTTTAAATTGAAATTTTAAAAAGAATATCAAAAGAAAAAGTCTAAAATGCCTTTCAATAATCTCTCTTACCACCTCTATTTCTCTTCAATTAATAAGAATAGGGGCAAAGAAAATGTGGGTTGGAGAATTAATGAGCAGTTCAGTAGAATTGTGCTCAACTTTACAAATTTAAATACGAATAAAAATATTGCACCGGCTAGATATTCTAATATGATCATATATTTTAATTATTGTGGGTTAATAATAATAAAAAAAAAACTTTATAATGGAAGAATCTTTAGCACTCGCATCTCCCCAAATTCAGCCACCTGTAGCAACCGCCGGCAAGTAACCTTCCATTGACACCGTTTGACTATTATAAATGGCGTCAAGGTTTAAGAAGTAAAAAACAATACCTGACAACGATGATTCAACATCTAGGATACTTAATCAGAATATTTAATCAAAATCTAACCACACATTTTAATTGTTGCACGCTATTTATGAAAAAAAGTTTTTATATCAATTTTACACGTCATTAATCTAGGCCAAATTTAAAATTTATCAAACAAACTGAATTGAAATTCTTTCGTGAACTATGTATATACACGTTATATAGAAGTGTGTTCAACTTTATACATGTGAATATGATTATATCTATTTTTCTTGGGAAATTTTCATAACACGATCATGGATTTGTATTGTTATATCCTACCTTTAAAAATTGACTTTAAATCAACACTGTATCTTACTAATATGGGCACAAATTTTCTTTGTCATAATAAACAAATTCAATGCCCTTCCTCCTGGATTTAATGTATGAAGAAGATGAGTTCGTCATATCTGAGGACAACTTTCTGCTTACTAGTGCTTTATTTTTGGAAACTATATAAATCTTGTGAATTTGAAGTTGAACAAACTTTTGTAATCCTCAAATATTTTGATTTAATAAATGCATCATTGAAAGACTTTAGTAATGAGTTTGTTTCCTCACCATTACTTATTTAAAGCTGATTAGGGTATTGTTGGCAAAAAAATGGATAAAAATTTATGTTTAACTACTTTCTTAATTTTAGAGTTTTTTCTATTTTCTCTAAAGTAAAATAATAAAGGGAGTATTTTATAAGAAATTTATTCCTTAAATTTGAAAGGGGTATGCAATTTACCAAAAAAATAACTTATTTGTACAATTTATCCTTGAACTAATGCTAAAAGAACGAAAAAATCTAATTTCTTACTGAAAATAATTAAATATTTGATTTAAATCATAATCAAAAATAATTAATTAATTAATTAAATACAATCAAAATATAATTAAACAAAATTAGTAAATATCCTTCAAACCAAATATTCAATGTAATTAAATATTTTTCTAATTATATACTTTTTTTTAATCAAATGTGTTGTTTAATTATTTTTTACACTAAAGATAAAGACGCCGTAAATTTTTATAATAATTAATATATTTTTAAATATTTTTTATTTCCTAATTTTAAATTTTTAGAATTTTATTAATTAAAAATATTTTTATATGAAATAGGAATTTTTAATTATTTTGATGCAAATTTTGGGGAAAAAAATCATATATTGCGCCAAATTGAACTTCATTCCCTTGTATAACAATTGGATGGACAAAAATACTTTTATTATAATGCTTAAAATAAAAATATTAAAAAATGGAAAATATTAATTTAAATAAAGGAATACGTTTTATAATATTTTTTGAGAATTTGAATATAAAATAAACAAAAATATTTTGGACTTTGGATATAAAAAATGTTGGTCGGTTGTTTTTTTTTTAAATTAAAATTATAGTCTACTCCTACTCATTTTGTGGCTGGCAAAAGACAAACAAGGAACAGACAAAGATGTCATTAAACACAATTTTATATAGTCAACTTCCATCAATTATAAAATCCAAATGAATCAAATAAAAAAAAAATACCCACTCTCCATGGTCAACTTTTAAATAAGAATTGTTATTATCGTGCTCTGTTTGAAACATGACAGCAGCCAAACTGCTAAAGTCAAGCTTGGATCTTTATCAATTAGAAAAGAGAAAAGGTTGTAACTTTATTCCCTCGTCGGCGGCCAGAGGCGCCACCGTAAGCGTGGAAACGAAACTACTCAAACCCCCTCTCATGTCCAGATGTTTCTCTAACCAATCATAAATCAGGTAAGCTTTACTTTTTTTTTTTTTTTTAAGAAAAAAAAGTTGAGGGTTATTTTGTTTTTGTTGTAATTGTTTTCTATTTCTGGATCTTTAATTTTATTATTTTTATAATCTTGCTTTAAATTATCCCTCGATCTTGATTTGTATATTGGAGATTCCATTTGTACCATTTCGTAGGGTGTGTTTTTCGTTTGCCTTTCTTCTTTTCCTGCATTTGCTCTGAATTATTTGTTAATGGGGATGCTAACGTACAATTCAGTAGCTTTAACTTAAATGGCTAATAATATTGCTATCAAGATAATATTCAAAAAGTTGTTGGACAAAAATTAAAAGTTTCCTGTCACAGTTACTTTGTATTGTGATTTTATTTCTTCACCACACCCAAATATATACTACTTCTTTCTTTGTTAAATTTATACGGAATGATCATAACCAGATTCCCTACATGCAGCCTTTGAAGCCTTAAGATAGTTCTCTTGATTCTTGGGGTTGAAGTTAAATGGCAGCTAAGAAAACAGTTGTGGCTGATACCCTGGAGCCCTTGATTCCTCTGTCTCAGAATATGAGTAACCTTAATTTGAACACCTCTGACTTTAAGAGAATACCTCAGTGGAAGGATCAAATCACATTTAGAGGGTTGGTCGTGAGTGCTCTTCTAGGGACTGTGTTCTGCGTCATGGTGCATAGACTCAGTCTAGCAACTGGCTTGGTTCCTGTTATGAATATAGCTGTTGCATTGCTTGGATTTTTCATAATTAAGATGTGGACTCTTTTCTTATCGAAATTTGGTTTTTCGAGTGCCCCTTTCACTAGACAAGAGAATACTGTCATACAAACTTGTATTGTCGCTTGCTATGGTATTGCAACTTCTGGTGGGTTCAGCACATATTTGCTTGCAATGGATGACAAAATATATCAACTCATTGGTGTTGATTACTCTGGCAATCGGGCAGAGGACGTTAAGAATCCAGCCCTAGGGTGGATGATTGGCTTCTTATTTGTTGTAAGTTTTCTTGGGATTTTTAGTCTTGTTATGCTACGCAAGGTCATGATAATAGACTATAAGCTTACTTATCCTAGTGGAACTGCCACAGCAACGTTGATTAATAGCTTTCACACAAATGCAGGAGCAGAACTTGCAGAGAAACAAGCGAACTATTTGGGAAAATGTTTGACCTTGAGTTTCTGTTGGAGCTGCTTCAAGTGGGTTTTCAGCGGCGTTGACAATGCATGCGGATTTGATCATTTTCCAAGCCTTGGCTTAACACTTTTCAAATACTCATTCTATTTTGATTTCAACCCTAGCTTTGTTGGTTGTGGTCTCATCTGTTCTCACATAGTCAACTGCTCTATTCTTCTCGGGGCAATCATATTTCATGGATTTCTATTACCTTTCATTTCGAAACATTCTGGGGATTGGTATCTGGCTGATCTCCATGTTAGTGATCTTAGAGGTCTTGGTGGATATAAGGTTCTCATGTCAACTTCGCTTATTCTTGGTGATGGCCTCTACAATTTAATCAAGATAATAGCAGTCACTCTGAAGAAAATGCATAGCAACACTATCTATGAAAGCTCTGAACTCCATATGGAACAGAATTTAGGAAATGAGTTATTCCTCAAAGAGAGAATTCCCTCTTGGTTTGCAGCTTGTGGATTCACGTTTGTGGCTATAGTTTCAGCTATTACGGTACCAATAATCTTTCCACAAATTAAGTGGTATATAGTTCTTCTCTCATGTATCATTGCACCGATCCTTGCTTTCTGCAACTCATATGGTACTGGGCTCACAGACATGAGTATGCTTACAACATATGGAAAGATTGGCCTTTTCGCTATTGCGTCATTAGTCGGAAAGGATGGCGGTGTCATAGCAGGCTTGGCAGCATGTGGTTTTATTGTAACCAGTGCCTCTACTGCAGCTGATCTAATGCAAGATCTCAGGACAAGTTACCTCACTCTATCATCGCCTAGGGCTATGTTTGTGAGCCAATTAATAGGAACGGGGATGGGTTGTGTCGTTGCTCCATTAACATTCTGGTTGTACTGGACTGCTTTTGACGTTGGGTCTCCTGACGGACCTTATTCAGCTCCATATGCAGTTCTATTTAGACAAATGGCAATTCTTGGAATTGAAGGCTTCTCTGAGCTGCCTAAGTATTCATTGTGTATATTTTGCAGTTTCTTTATCTTGGCTCTGGTTATGAACATTTTGAGGGATGGAATTCCATCGAAACTATCAAGATATATTCCTATTCCAATGGCGATGGCAATCCCAGTTTTTGTAGGAGCTAACTTTGCCGTTGACATGTTTGTTGGGACAGTAATATCATATATTTGGGAGAGAAGAAATAAGAAGGATTCAGAGGATTATGTAGGTGTAGTTGCTTCAGGTTTAATATGTGGTGATGGTCTTTGGACAATACCATCAGCTGTCTTCTCAATTTTAAGGATCAACCCACCTATTTGTATGTCCTTTAGGCCTTCTTTGAATATCTGAATAGGGAAATTGTATTCTCCATTGAAGGGGTCATGTTCTTTAAAATTGCTGTAAATTCTTTGAGAGCAACTTGCTTAGGCATTATTGATTAAATAGATTTGATTAAGTGGTACCTGCAATTTCTGGTAGATCATATGTTCTAAATGATGGTAATTTCTAAGCACCTAAACCAAAAATTAGTTTGTTGCTGCAACCCAGATGATTTTAAAGCTAAAAGATTAATTGAAAACTGAAACGACATGACATCCCATTAGTAAATTACACCTGCAAGGGGTTAACTATGATTTATTTGACTCTTAACGTTATGGTCAGTTCTAACAGACGGCAATACTTTCGACTCTGTCGTTTAACTTTACAAGCGGAACGTTACGTGTTGACTGTAGTGTTGACGGCAGGCTGATTGAAACAAGCGCTCTTTCCGTATTACTTGTTGTGAAAATACAGACCCAGAGGGCCGTCGAACGACCGAACCGCAATTTTTCGCGTGCACTCAATCGGCGTTAAGGCTAAGTCTAGAGGACGGTTATGCTTAGACGACACGACTTTATGGCTGTCGTCGAACCACCGAACGGCAAAGTTGCACTTGTTTTCAGAGTGCCGTTAATGTTTGGACGACACGTTGTTTGAAACCGAAGCAGGCCAAACTACCGAAGAAAGAAACGTTTATGGCATTTTCTCAAACCTTAAAGGAATCCAAACAATCGAAGACCTGAAAGTACGCAGGAACAGAAACAGAGAAAACAGAGGAAGCAAAACATCACCGTTCCAATAAGAAAGAACAGATAAATATGGCATCAATAGCAACCCATTTCTCCACCGCCTTGATCCTTGTTCCAGTTGGGCTACGCCGCCTCTTCTGCTCCTCCTCCCTCTTCCTCAAGAACCCATCTTTATTTAGATCGAAAACGTGGTATCTATCTGATACTAAATGGAAGAATGTTGATTTATACATACTCACCATAGCCCTTCCTATTGCTTCTTTCTCTGAAATCTTCCTTTTCTTGTCTTTTTCTGGTCACCCAACTTACCGTTTCTCATTCTTGCATCAATCGCTGGTTCTTCTCCTTTACTGGGTGCTGACCTTTTTGTTTCTTTTGCGTAATAGCATTGACCCATTAGCTCTTAATGATAATTTCTTGTTTGCATTTACGGGGATCGTGTTCTTCATAGAGTATTCAGTCATTGGCAATGGAATTTCTGGTCTTATTGATGGGGCTGTTTATGGTCTGTGTCGTGATTTGACCATTATTTGTGGTTGCTGTTGCTTATATTTGGCTATTAGGCCTAATGCCTTTTTTGTGGAGTTTTGTTTTTGCTGTGCGTTGCTTTTGAGGGGGACTTGGTTTTTGCAAGCTGGATTGTCTTTATATAACGACTTCTTTGTTTTCAAGGGGTGTCATAAGATAATGGTTTCTCCAGAAAATGAAAATGCTGATATGAAGTGTGATCTTGAAGAGGATGGACTGAGGGGTGTTGCATTGGCTAATTTGTTGTTTATTGGCCATGTAATTGCGGTCTTGCTTGTGAGCTTTGGGGTATTTGGTTTGTTGACAACTAATAGAATTTCAAGGCATGGTGAGGCAAGTGGTGCATTGCTGGCAGGGCTTGAATCTGACAGTCATTCAATACGCCAACTTCCTGAATTTGAGCTGGAATGAAGCGCATGGCTTTTCTTTTTTCCTGTAATCTTCCTTGTACAATATTCATTTAATCAAGTTTAATGGTTTCTTTGTTCTATAAATATAAACATTAACATAGTTGCTGTTCCTAAAAGAAAAATGCTACATTGATCATCTCTTGATCATGAAATAACTTTCATACATGAATGTTCATGTTCAAGTTTTTGTTTTATTATCTGAGATTATTGAATAATGTTTGCAACTTTGCCCCTATTGTCCTTATTTATGTTCTTTGTGAGTAGTCTCTTATGCAAATGCCACAAAGAAGTCCAAAGCAAGAAATTTACTGTTTACTCAAAGTGCTCATATTTATTTAGCTTAATATGATGTTAATGCTGCACAACGCAATCAAATAGAAGTTGTTGTTTTCGTTAGTGTTTCTGAAGTTAGATTTCCTTTTTAACCTTTAATTATGTTTAATTCAAAGAATATGATTTGTACTTCGAATAGTGCCTCAGATTGAATGCATCCAAGGTAGCAGTTGGAGTTTATTATGATTGTATTTGTGTTACAATGTTTCAAAGCCATTTACATGCAGGAAAGAATTGCAAACAAGTTGCTGTCACTGATTTAAAATAGTAGAAACAATCGGAAAATCATAGAGATTGCTAACGTTTAGGTTGTATGTCAACAGCGATGTGAACTCCAAGTATTTGAATGCATCCAAGGTAGCAGTTGGAGTTTATTATGATTGTATTTGAGTTACAATGTTTCAAAGCCATTTACATGCGGGAAAGAATTGCAAACAAGTTGCTGTCACTGATTTAAAATAATAGAAACATTCGGAAAATCATAGATTGCTAACGTTTAGGTTGTATGTCAACAGCAATGTGAACTCCAAGTATTTGAACTTGAGATTTTAGTTCAAATTGTATGCAGAAAAAACAGGACATGTTTTTACCTACTTTGGTGTGTAGTTGCAATTACACTAAAAATATAGAAAAAACCTTGATTCATCTAGTTGTGAAAGGAAATTAAACATTTTCTGGACCTTTTCTCTTAGTTTCGTAACCATGTGCCAGAACTTAGAATAACTAAAATATATATATATATTTTTTTTTGAAAAAAAAAAAAAAAGCTTTGGATGTTATTTGTCTCTTCATGAGTTAATTTTAGCATTCTTTTAGTGGATCGCATATGATATTTAGCAGGCTTTGAGTAGCATCATATGTCTGGTCTTCATTTTTTTCATCATCATATTTCCTTCTGGAGCTGTAAACGATTTAAGTTGGTGTTCAGGATGAGCATAAGCAGCCTAAGCTTCAAAGGGAAGTCCCACCAGCACAAGCAAGTCTTGTGAAAATGTATTACTCCATTGTCCCACGAACTGATTTTTATCAGATAACATCTGATAGATTGGCTTACCTGCTTGCAGGAGTTTTTTCTTTCCAATACATGAAGGGTGCATACCAGTAGGAAGGAGATAGCTGTCAAATGCTTTATTTACTAGTCCTTTGAGTTTTGTAGGACTTCTGAAAAAGTTTAGCTTTCACAAGAATATCACCAGAATAGTAATTTCTTCATTGCTTTATTAAAAGATCCTTCGAAGTTCGAAGCAAGGGGAATTGACATGGGATTTCATTCTCAAACTTGCATAGCATTAGGGGCAACAGGTAAGGAAGATTTCTTTGTATTAAAATTCCATAGGACAAGAAACTGCATAATTGCTTGTGTTGCGTGCAATTTAATTGATATAACCTATGAACTTCTTAGCACGTAGTAACGTCATATGTAGATCTTGATATGGCTAGTTAATATTTTACTATGCTGTCTAGTGGATACTGAAATCATTTCGCTGTGGTTTCCACAATTTAAGTAGACTTTATTATCATACAATGCCGTGAGAAAAGGCTTATACTAACATCATGGATGATGTAGAAGTCCTCCAGTGCAATATTGCATGTCTTAGTTGCAAATAAAACATATGGACTATAAATTAATCTAGTTTGGTATATCTCATTTGGGAAGAAAACTTTGGGATTGTCAACCATCTTCTCTGAAAGCGCCCAAATCCATGGATCTTGATAAAACGAATTCGCTTGATCTTTCTAGTAACCTCACCACATCTTTGTTTAAGCATTTCAGATTTTGGGAAACGGACCAGTTTCGTAACATACCTGCATCTTGCCTTTGCTGGAAGGAAAATAGAATATGAATGAAACCAAAATGTAAAGGAACATTTATTTCTTTTGTTCTAAAAGCTAAATTTTCTAATGATCACTATGCTATAAATGTTATGCTGATGGGACTGATATATTATCATTCCATTATATTATAAAACAGCCTGTTTCAACACCAAGCAAATTAATTATTGGGGGGGAAGGGGGTCTTAAAGCTAAATTTTCTAATATCACATGCTATAAATGTTATGCTATGGGATAGATATATTATCATTCCATTATAATTATAAAACAGCCTGTTTCAACACCAAGCAAATTAATTATTGGGGGGAAGGGGGGGGGGGGGTGGTGTGGTGTGGGTGTGGGGGGTGGGAGTTCCTTAATATTTCTCATCTCTGTAGTATATTAAACTAGAAACACATTTTTGGTGCCTCCGAAGGATAGAATTTTCCCTTTCCTTTTCTTTTTTTTTTTTTTTTAATTTTTTAATTTTTTTAAGTTCATCTAAGGTATCCTAATAGATTGGCTGAAAACATACCTTTAACCCTTTTAACTTTTTCACCTTCCTCCTGATTTTCCTTGTGCAGGACCTGCAAAATGCACATGAGAATTAGTTTGCCATCTTGTTAGCTCAGTCTCTTGTGAAGGTTGCTCAAGCAATCTTGACTAATGTTTGCTTGTTTTTGCAATATTAGTTCCTAGGTTCAGTCCATATGTGCTGTTCGGTGTGTAGCAAGAGGCATATAAGAAAAGGAAAAAAGAACTTTGTTTTTTTTTTTTTTTTTTTTTTTTTTTGGAGTTTTAAGAAAAGGAAAAAACTCTAGCCTAAAATTTAACAAAAGAAAAACGAAAAAGCCTTTTGGTTTCTTCACTTGGGTTTGCAATTCAACTATTGTGCACTTTCGTTGTCCTAGTTTCAGTTTTAGCACCTCAACCAAGCTTTCCAAACTGCCTTTTGCATCTTCCTCTTTTATGAAGGCCTCTGGTGCAACTATTCAAAAAAATTTTGTCAGCCAAAGATACAACTCCACGCATTTACACACTCTGTTTTTCCCCAACAAATAATACACAAAAAGAAAGCTATTAGTTTGAAACCTTACCTTTACATGGTTTTTTCACATAAGGCAATAAGAAGTTTAACAGAACTCTCATACCTTCTTACTAGTTTTTTAACCTTCAACTGACCGTGATGAATTCTGAAATATTATAATATGTCAAGTCTGAAGATGCTCAAAGCTTTTTCTTATATTGGGAGTAGCTCATATCTGAGAAGAATTCAAATGCAGCCATTTGATTTCCAATGAGAGATGTCAAATCAAGAATTCATCAAGTTGCTGTTTGGTTAAACTATGATGGGCACAACATGACTACCTTTCAAATGGACAGACAATTTTTGCCAAAGGTAATTGTAACTTTGTAAAATGATCTATTGCACCATGCTGTTGTTTATATTTAGGATAGTAAGATAGGATACCAAACGAAACAACCCCATTTTGTAGCTCCCATCTTCTAAGATTCTCTCTACATTCTGGTGGAAGGTCGGCTGACAAGTGAAGTGGTCGCCTTTTGGACCCATTTTTTCTGAAACTTCCCACATCATCATAGCTCCCTCATACCCCGGAAACGAACACTAGAGAGACAGGCACATGAGCTTATTTTTTCCTAAGACCGCCAAACACGAGCCGTTTCCAGAGTCCAAATTATCTCGTTTTGTCCGCAAAACCTGAAAAAAAGGCCGTTGCAATAATCTACATCTGAAGGTTCTTGACACACGCATAAGGAAATACTGAGACCAGTGGATTTTCAGTCGGCCTGCTTCGCAACATACTCAATTTACTTTAATTTAGACACTAGATTGGAAATAAAAGTATGCAGTGAATCTTTATTCATTAGATTCCATAAGAGCGCCGTGTTCACAATCCTGAAAGTGAAACTACAGCATATTATTGGTTATATCAAAGCCAAGAGGGTGGTTTCCTAGCTGTGAATCTAAATAATTTAAACTTTGTCAAATCTTTCTCTAATATTTTTGAAACGTGGTTTTATGGAAAATTTACATAGAGGCCATAACAGAGGTTGAATTAGCTGAATCTGTTCAGTTTTTTGAAATTTTTGGTAACTTCCTGGAAAGTGGAAACTTTACAAAATTCGCTAAACTTTATCCCTGATAAAGGCTACCGCCATGAATTACGCGTGTTTCTGGTGGAGTATAAATGGTTGGAAAAATATTTCAATGAGACTTTGGATTTATACAAAATTAACTGAAAGCTTTATCTTAGCAGATGTAGTTCATCATCGTAACACACATTGACCAGAAAATATTGACCTCAATGATGAGTCTCTGAGTCAAAATTAATGATAAAACTGACATATTTGTTGCTGAAAAATTAATCATTTTGTTGCTAATCATCGCTCTTTAGCTTTTTATGGACACCTTACCTATTTTTAAGAAATTACAATTCCTTGCATCGAAATTACCTGTTTGATGACATAAAAGGGCTTCTTGGGTCCGCATCATCGAGTTTGATTGGCTTTATGCATCCCTAGATATTTCCTGGCGTTTACGTTCATCAACATTTTTTTCAGCTGGGAACTATAGATATCAATATGCTTGCACTGAAACGAAATTTGTCCTAAAATCACTTTTTCAAGAATCTGAAACAGAACATAACTCGCATATCATCATGAAATGAATGTGCAGCAACATGACAGCTTGAAATATGAATACGACATCAGATAATTTCTTAGAAAAAATGAATGACTGACACAAGGTATATAGCTATGCCCTTTTAAAATGTTTCTTTATTATTCCTAATTGCCTTAGAGAAGGAAGATTTGTGACACAGCCAATGTTTGACTCTGATGTTTTTATATTTTTGCTTAGCATCATTGCTCTCACTCGTTTTCACCTACACTAGGTGTTATTAAAATCTGAAGTTTCTTTGACTCTTTCGTTTTTCAATTAACTCCCGCAATTATCCAACATTCAAGTATCTGTTGAAGAAGTTGTGGGGACTGTTCGAGCCGCGAATCCGCATCGATTCTGGAAAAGCAAGAATATATTTAGGACATTGTGTTTCTCGTACTGATCAATGGCAGGTGTGGTGCTTTGTACTTTCCTCTAATTAACTTTGCTTATATATTATGATTTGCTCTTCTTCGGTGTGTGCATGACATTGAGCTTATATTTTATGTTGCATCTCGCTCTATGTTGAGATGAACATGGCGTCTTGACTCTCATTTATGTAAATTGGCTTTTCTACTTCATGTTTTTCAGTGAGTAAATATCTTTGCAAATTACTAAAACCATGGTCCTAGTCCATTCCATTATTTTCCTTCAATATGCAGCTTCAGAAACCTTTTGATTTCTTAAGTGTATCTCTGTTCTCTTGCCAACCCATAGATTTTAACCCTTTAGTTGTTAGTGTATTACGCCATCAGTGAGAATAGAAAATTAATAATGAAAAGACACAAGTCTAGGATTACTCGAAGAATGATTTTAAGCCGCAACTGAAAAACTGCTCTTATCTATAGTAGCATATAACTCTCTCGCACAGCGGAGTTGTAAATGAAAATGTAACCACACACCATCATGCTATTATCATCATATGGGTGGATTTAAGCATCAGCAAGCCAAACCCTTTTTCATTAGGATCTTGGCAATTAAGTTATTTAAGGGTGAGCTGGTATCCTTCTCTTGAGGGTTCAAACAATTTCCACGCGCATCAAGAACAAACTTCCTCTATCATCTGTAATAAGTGTAATGTGAAAGCCCGTATGAATTCAAGAAACCCTCTCGGGCAGCAGTGGAGTAGATTTAAAGGTATTCATGTGTGGATCTGACTGCCTGAAGACTGTTAAATAACACTGATCAATATAAATCCTCTCACATACTTTGTAGAGGCTGCTTATTATTATACGCATACGCACCCTATATGACAAGTAAATATACTGAAATCTCTAGCCTCCAATCTTGTTGTATTTTCAATGAAAATACAATTAAAAATTTTTTTTTAATGAAGTAGGATCTGATTAAAGAAACCAAAACTGCTGCCCAAAAGTGTTGAACGAACTTGCCTGAATGTGGTATTCTACAGACCCAACTCATTACAAGTGATGATCAAAATCTCCCACAGGTTTCTCCGGCACTGCATGAAATAAAAATTACATCTATGGTCATTTACTTTGTGTAAAATGCATGCAACTTGAAATAAAGTCATCTTAATTGCAGGGAAGTGAAGAAGCAAAGTCATCACGTTCAAATCACAGATAATAATACTTTCGCCTCAAATTAAGAAAGTCCAAATCATTTTACATCTGTCCAATCCCTTCAATAATTTGGACCTGTTCTGATATTTACTTATTTTTGCTTTTCTTTGCTCGACATGATCTGCCATCCACAATATACCATGTGTTTATTTTCAGCTGACTAATATTATGGGCTCGAAGTTTTTTTTTTTTATCTAGAACATAAAACGAGAGAGCCCAATCAGAAGGCTAGCCTCCCACTTGCCTAATATGAGTTTGTGAGTGGCAACTAGAAAATGGCAAGAAAGTATGGTGGTGGAAAATGGTTTAGAAGGTCTGTAGTGAACCAAACTATTCAGTTTTAGTCCCTCCAACCAACAACTTGTAGCTTACTTCAACAATTGGTTATCCTACCTGGAAAACATATCTTGTCTGCCATATTCTGGTAGTTCAATAGTCACAAGAGAAGCTACCTACAGCTTCCAAGTTGGTCGATATTTTACTTTGAACTATTAATGATTGTGTCCTTTATTTTATTTCTTTTATCTTAATGTTTTTTCTTCATTTTGGTAAATCCGAGTATTGAAACTTTTCGACAGGTTAACTTTCAAATATGGTTGAATAAATGAAAAACAAATACAACTCAGTGAAGTTTAAAGGGGGTAAGGGGAAATCAGAGCCTCGATGTTTTACAAATGCAGAAAACGTATGCAAGGAGCGAAAATGAAAAAATTTACCATGAGCCTATTTGCTTATTTTTATTTTTTTGAAAAGATGGATCTTTGGGGTGGTTACTTTAACTGTAAACTTGAAGGCAAAATCTCTTGAGAGCAGGCCGAGGCCTCTCGAAAGCATGCCATCCTGAGCTCTCTTCTCATCTTCTAACCTTAACATATGACTTCTTGTTAGAATGTATGCCATTTTGCCATTATACTGTTTTTGAGTATACAATAAAGTTCAAGCGTGCTTGCAAGTCCATGCTTTAGTTGCCTAGAAAGGCAAGTACCTACCTTCACTTCCGTATTCTCCACTGTAAAATAAATCTTTGTTTGTAAAAACACGCTACGAAAAGACATGGATCATCCTCTCCTGTCTATATTCTCCCATTATTTTAACTGTAATCAATCTATGATACACTGATTTGGCACTATCTAAATAGGCAATAATTTTTCTTTTTAAAATTTATTCTATTAATCTTCAACATATATATATAATATATATATAATATATATATATATATAATAAGAGAGAGAGAGAGAGAGCTAAAATGCTAAATTGATCTTCGAAGCTAATATCATAAACTTCACTCTTTCTTATTAATTGTAGGATAAATTTCGATTCCGTAAATATTAGGATTCAATTCAATTTGTTGAAATTACATTTTAATTACATACAATAATACAACCCTAAAACGGAATCAAGGTCATTATCTAATTTAGCAACACAACAGAGAAGTCATGGGCCCCAACTAAAGCACTTCGTATGTGTTATTAACCCCCACTCACTCAAAATTCACAGCCACGTAAACGACAGCCAGACCGTACTGTATTTAACATAAACAGAACGCGTATTATATCGTCACAACGAGATTACTAACATCAGCCAGTAATATCCCGGGCACCACACGCCACCTTATTCACAGCCGCTCCCGAATTCCGATCTCCGCACACAAAAACTATAAATTTTGGAAATACAAAAAGATATTCTATCCAATTAAGAAATGAAAGTATACCATTTTTCCTGCTGGCTCTTGTTCTGTCTCTTCTTTATTTTTATCTTTGAGCTAATGCAATTGCGTTTGTTGACCTGGTTAAATGGTTTCAATTTCATGTTTTGTCTTGATTCTGCTTTTAATGGACGTTTTAATTCGGATTTTCTCGGTTCTTTGCCTTTTTCCTTCTCCC